CTTTTATTGTTGAATATGTTTCTGTCCTTGTACAAACATTTAAAATCACAGCACTTTGAGTCAGACTCTGTCTGACTCAGAGTGCTTGTCAGGGGTTTTTCTCAAATACAATATTCAGCACAAATATTAACAATTGTAAACATAAAACAACTCCACATTACATTGCACTAATTAGATATTACAAAGCTTGCCACTGCTTTTCTGACTGATGCTGAGCCCAGTTCTGTTCTCTACTTTTGCTTTCAGCATATTCATCAGCGCGCACACTAACCAGTAGGATGACTAAACATTTAGGTATGGTCATTTTCATGGGACAGAAATATGTTTGGAATTATTTATTGTGTGCAAAAGTTTCTAAAAAAGCCTTTAAGGGAAAGGCAGTCAAAAAGTGGACTGTTACCTTATCTGTGAACACTGCCGCCTTCTATGTGCAACCACATAATGCTTGACTTTATCCCTAACCCAACTTCTCTTGTCTGTGTCATTTTTCTTCTTAAACTAACAAATCCCAAGGTAATTTATAGCATATTCTATACTTACCATAATGTATAAAAAAAATAAATGGTTGAAAAAAATTCCACCTATTTCTCTTTTCATTCCTACTCATCATTCAAGATATACTGAAATCATTTCAGAAATGTATGTTTTTAAACATAGATGCAGAGTGGCAGGAACCACATTAAGGCTTCAACATTTAAGCATTTTATTTGGATGTTTCCAGTGTGGGATGATATGGACCAATGGTTGCTGTTCCTGTTAGTACTACACCTAAACATTTAGTAATAAAAAACAGCCAAAGGTTTGAACAAACCAGAGCAATTAGATGTGCGTCCAAACCTTTACCTTCGCCTACATGATGGTGCATGTTTCTGATCAACTTGGCCAACTGTTTCATTAAAGAAAAAATCAATCTAAATCCTGACAAAGATAATGATTTAATTGCTTAATAAATTAAAAATGTTCAGAACTATTCTAACTAACTGTTGAGTTACTGAAAAATATTACACCACTTGCTAGCAATACAGCAGAGGATTAAAGAATAACTTGGCTCAACATATTCCTTTAAAGAAACGGATTAAGTGGAGGTGACATAAACAGAATATTTATGCAACTTTGATTTTAAATGCAAACGTAAAAACAATCTGTAACCACGAGTCTTGATAATCAAGAGATGGTAGCAAATCATCAAAAGCAAAATATTCAAGATTAAACAAGTTTTATTTATCCTGGGGGAAATTTCTGTACAATTTCTTGTACAATTTCTGTACAATTTCTGTACTAATGTTGGGAACAATTGTTTAAAGTGACCTACCTCTGCAGGCTGGCATTTATAACAATATAGTCCAACATTAGGAAATTAACTGTTTAAATAAATACAACACATTTATTGTGTTATTTTTTCGGATTAAAACCTTGGTAACAGGGTTTATAAAGTTAATAAAAAACACGGCGTAAAGCGTCCCCATGGTTACGGACAAAGCGTCTATAAAACCGTGGGGGCGTGGTGTATCATGGGAAAAAAAGTTGTTGTTAAATCAGTTCCATCTTTATTACCCGCGCGGAAGGACTCCAAGAAAGGTGAAACATTCCTAACTATAACGCAAAGGTACATGTTATACATCATTTATATGTATGTTATTATCTAAAAGATTGAAAAAACATACGCATTTGATGTACTTGTGTGCATGAGATCAATACAGCGCCTGAAAAAACAGTCATGCTAATGCTATAACTAGCAGAGTTGCTATTGCATGTCTTCGGCCAACTACTAAAACTAACTCTGAGCTTATAGAGAAGGGGATATTCAGACACTATGTTTAATGTTAAGTTTTTAAGATGATAAATAACGAAGAAAATTTTATCCAAAATAGCGTAAATGTTTAGCTCAATTTTCAATGTGTGTTCTGCCTCAGAAATCGGCTACAAATGTCTGAAGAGAAGATTCCGACCTTTCCTGCCTCTGCCTCCGAGCACTTTAGCTCGACCCCAGTCAAGACCAGCAAGGGGAAAGACTTTCATATCTCGAGAGGCCTGGATAACGACATCGTGGTAGAAGACGAGGACACCTTCTCTTTGCTTTCTCCCATCTACCATGACAGTTATGAGAGTGATGAGGAAGTCGAGGGCGCCGGTGAGCTGACTCCTCCGAAGAAAAGCTACGAATCGCGGCGGTGCAAATCATCACTCAGGTATTACTAGTTTTTTTAAAGCTGCTTTTGACCAGAGTGGGATTGTCTTGATATATATTTGTTTTCATATAGGTATGAGCTTCCTAAAACGCCGTCAGATCAGATGCTCCCCACAGCTGTGCAGCCTGCAGGGTCACCCTCACTAACTGCATGGCAAACGTGGCTTTTGAACAAAGCCAAAGAGGATCGTCTTAAACAGGAAAAGAAAGCTGAGGAGGCAAGTTCATTTAAAGCAGTAAAGCATCATCTACGTGTTTGCCTTAAACTTGTTTTAGTAAGGGGCACTAACTTTTGTGCCGCATCAGAATTACTTACTGTATAATTTACTCCCCCATAACCTAGGAGCGCCTGCTCAGAGAAAAGAAAGAAGAACAGGAAAGGAACGAGGAACACAAAAAGGTTGCCATGGAAGAAAGAATCCACGAGTGGCTGAGAGTTAAAAGAGAGCAGGTAAAGGAATTTACATTTTTTTTAATGAGTGTTTTTAATACACAAGTGAGTTTTGAAAAGTTATTTGTATATTTTCTCACTGCAATTCTAGGAGAGGCAAGAGCAACTCTTAAAACAGAGAATGGAAGAAGAGGAGATTCAGAGGAAGCAAGAGAAACAGAGGGAAATTGAACAAAAAGCTCAGCAAAAATATAGAGACTGGCTGCAGAAGAAGAACCAAGAAAAAATGGAAAAGGAAATGCAAGAGAAGGTATTTTCTGTCTTTTTGGTTGTCCTAAATACTTCACCAAAAGATAAAGCATTAAACTTTTTTTTCTGTTATCTGATAGGAGGCCGCTGCCCTTAAGGAGGAGCAGGAGAGGCTGCGCCGTTGGAGGGCAGAAGAAAAGTTTAAAGAGTGGTTGACAAAAGCCAATGAAAGAAGTAGATGTAGTCCCAAATCACCATTTTATTCAACAAGTAAGGTCAATAGGGAGTTATTAACTGAAACCCAACATTCAACATGTTCTTCATTAATGTTACTAAGGGCACTCAGATTGAAGCAAAATTTGTTTAAGGTTTTTGGTTGAATTTTCTGATATTTGTTATTCATCCATCTGGTATTGGTTATTTTTCCTCCAGGCCCCTATGAAAAGTTGAACCCGGCACCCAGCTTCTACAATCCCATCCCCTGGAAGCCAATTCCCATCCCTCCTCCAGAAACAGCCCCAAACAAGACGTCTACCAAGAAACCCCAGAAACAAAGAAAAAGCCACCAGAGTTCTTGTTCAGCTTTTAGAATTAGAGACGGTGTGAGTGCAGCACGTTTTCTGCAGTGGAGATAACGCAGCAGGTTAACGTGTGTAGCTCTGATTCAGAGACTGGACGATGACTCAATGACACCAGCACAGCTCCTGGACTAAGACTGCTGAATCACTGAAGGATATTTACTCTTTCACATGATCGCAGTTATGAAGAAATGCCACCACACATTGACTTCAGTACATCACATTCTGTATGTGTAATTAGCTCTATTTGGTTTGGAAGAGAAGTTCTGGACACTGGGATGTATCTTTTGTTCTGATACACGAGAATGTTTTTATACAATAATAATGACTGGTAGAAATGCTAGCAGAATGTTTTAAATCGTGGAGCATTTTTCTTTAAAATGATTCTGTACGTTTATTTTTCTTTTTATAAAAGATTAATAATCAAAGCTTTGCTCCCTTCTGTGTTATTGGCTCCATCTCAGATTTTTCAGCAAATAACAATGTTAAACCACTTTTAATGAGGCACCAACCACATGACAGGAAAAAAAAGGTGGTCGCAGCCAAAGATAGACCCGTCTGGCTCAAGAGCTCCTCACACTCACACATTGTTCCGTGTCCAGCTGTGCTTTGTTTTTCTGTGGGCTGAGATGACGACAGAAACGAGTGTGGGGGTGGAGAGAGCTGATTCAGAGCAGTACGCTCATTCTGCGTTAGCATCTCTCTGTGATGCCAATGTTTGAAGCCTGAGGTAAAATCATTTCCATTGCACTTTATGTTAGAATAGCCATGTTTAGTCAGTTATACTGTTATGCTGCTGTGCTGTGATTTGCTCTGACTTATTTCATGGCTAACCCCTGCCAGTTGTCAACTGCTGTGGAATGTGTTACTTGACAGTAGTCAGGCATGGGGGTAGAAATGTAGGTCATCTTTGAAAAGTAAACAGTTGTAAGATTTACCAGACTTATTTTTTAAACAACAAAATCATATGTACAGTGTGTTATTACCATTTACCCAGCAGGGGGGGGGGGTTATACTATTTACACACGGGCCTTTTGGGCGAAATCTATAACCCATGAAGTTTCTGGCAAAAGGACCCTTCAGCACTTTGTGCCCTTCTAATTCATGGCAATGATGCAAGATTTAACAAGTTAATCATACAACAAAGCGCAATTTAGTAAACTCAGTGCCTTTGATAATGAATGATAACTTTCAGGAAACTGAATTTTACTTCTGCCTCTTACAGGGATTGTGTCTTATTGTCAATACAAAGCCAATATCCCAAGATGCAGTGGTGCAGGTGGGCTGGCGGTTGGAGATCACACCTGCTGAGACAGGTAGGGGGTGTGTCTTAAGCTGCTCCAGAATGAAAGTAACTGGATAGAGTTTCTGCTGAGTGAAGGTCTAAAGGGCAGACGTGCCGTCTTGTTCCTACTTTAAGAACATGACTGATAGTGTCGCGAAGATTTAGAGACAGATTCATGATGAAAAGACTTTTAGGAGGATAAACGTGAGGACTAATTTTCTTCATCCTAGCCGTTAGACTTCAGTAAGAGTTAGGATGACAGAAGAAACAAGCTTTTATTCTGGAATTTGACTTTTGAAATAATTTGGTAGTTTTCTGATCTGAATTGGACACATCTTCCCAGGATCATGTCATTGTTGTGTCATGGCTCTTGTAAACCTGAGTTTCTCCTTTTTTCTCACAAGGATGTGACAGCTGACTCTGTACATAGTCTTGGTTATTATTGACACAACTAGGAGGGAACCAGTTTTGTTGCATGGAGGCGTAAAGGTCTTAAACTCGGATGTTTTAGCCGTCGTGCTTTTGTCACCATGCAGTCTGCGGAGCCCGAGATCGAGGACTCTTTCGACTTTCTTTTCAAAATCATCCTGGTTGGGGATTCAGATGTTGGAAAAACCTGCATTGTGCAGAGTTTCAAGTCTGGCATATTCATTGAGAAGCAGCAGAACACCATCGGGGTCGACTTCACCGTTCGCACCCTGGACATTGATGGGAAGAAAGTCAAGGTAGGCTTTTATTCTGAACTGTCATTAAGATTTAGTTCAGCTCAGAAGTGGTGCATAAAAGCAGAGTTTAGCTGGGGTAAAACACTCTTTTAAACATGTATTCGGTGTGCATGACTTTATCGTATGTGTCTCAAAAGACACAATTTCTTCACTTTGTATGCGTTATCCGTGTTTTCTTGCGAGAAAAAGGAGTGCCTAACAGCCTGTTTAAATAAAAGGACCTGTGTGTTAGCTTTATGGGTGTGTTGGTTTGAAGGCTTTGTTTCAGCAGTCAAAAGTAACATAAAAAATCCAGAGTCTTCCTTTTTTACAGAAAGCAGTTCACGGCACAGCTAAACCCCTTTCTGGCGATTCCTGGCCCTCATTGTGTGGCGCTGTAACCCGTGTTTGCGCTGTCTCAGATGCAGGTGTGGGACACTGCTGGCCAGGAGCGTTTCCGCACCATAACGCAGAGCTACTACCGCAGCGCCCACGGCGCGATGGTGGCCTATGACATCAGCCGCCGCAGCACCTTCGACTCTGTCCCCCTCTGGATCAGAGAGGTGGAGCAGTACGGAGCGTCCAGCGTGGTGCTGATACTCATTGGTATGTCAAACCAGACTTTGATGTCTTTTCATAGTAAAATAATGAAATACAAATAGTAGGAATAACAAAGCTATTTAGCTCCTAATCACACCATTTCTCTCCAAAATATCCTCTGTTAAAATAAATAAGACCTTCCTCTGAGAAATCCAATGTAAAATTACTAGTCCGTTTCAGTCAATGTTCTGTCAACTGAGTCGATTTTGACCACTGCTGTCGATCATTATCAGATTCACAGATAGAACGATCACAGTCAAAGACATAAGAATATATTTATTGATTCATAAAATGATCTGTGGATATTTAGCCTATGGTCGTATCCAAACCACACTAATTTGCAGAGATAATGAAAATGAATTTCAGATTACCATTATCTTATACATTCATTTAGGCAAAGAAGCTCCAGCTTTTCAGATATCACCACATAAATAAACAAAATACCAACAGATATTTTCCTCCATCATATTCTGAAACAATGGAAAATTAAATTATTTTGTTTTAAACATGCTCTCCTCTTACCGTCTGTTTCACCACCTCAGGTAATAAATCAGACCTTCATGCCAAGAGGCAGGTATTATTCGAGGACGCGTGCACTCTGGCTGAAAACAACAGCGCGCTCGCTGCTCTGGAAACCTCGGCTAAGGAGGCGCAGAACGTGGAGGCTGCCTTCATCCTCATGGCTCGGGAGCTGATGGCACGCAACGGCGTGCCCATCACAGACGAGCCCTCCCAGAACTCTCCACAATTCATGCTGAGTGACAACTCTCACCCAGTCCAGGGCGCCGTGTCACCAGATAAAAAATGTGGGTGCCCCACAGGCTGAGGCAAGTATTTCCCAGAAGCCTGAAACATCCCCACGGCCTGAACTTTCAACCCAAATGTTATGTTTGACAGGTTTGCTCTCCACCCCCCCCCAGTCATGGACGTCTGTTAAGAGGCAACATAGGTATTGTGGATGAAGTTTTGTGACCAAACAAGCTTTGTTTATGTCTCAACAAGTATTTGTGGAGTTCAAGGAATCTGTGACATGTTTAAAATGGTGTTTTGGTTCTCAGATATATTTTGTGTTATTCTCTTCCTGTAGTCAAAACAACGTTTAACTTAAAAATGTTGTGTTCCTCCTTTTTTAATCGTCATTTCACAAAATGGCCTTTACAATACATGAACAGAGTGTTGATCTTAACCTGAAATTCACATATTTTTCCTCCTGTCATTTACAAACATAATCTATAGAAAACCTGCACTGGTGCTGCTGCCGACATTTAAATCTGATACAGAAATTTAGATTAACCGCTCATCAGACTTTTGTATAAAAAAATCTTTAAAAAATTATTATTTTTCGCTATTTCTGTAGACACTCCTGCAAATAGTATTCCATAAACTTCACAAAAACATCAAATAATTCATTTACATTCAAATGATTTCACATGACAATAAGTACACCGAATGCTTGTAAACTACTTTAAATTAATTTAGGCAGTCTTAAGAACAAAATAGGCTGGAAATTCATACCATTATGAGTTTATGAGGGCCCAAATTATACCGACGTATATATTTTTGAAAAAGGTGAGCCGTAAGGAGACAGATCAAGGTGCATAGAAATGAAACAGTCATTCTTCGTCTGAAAGATAAGTGCTTTGGTCACAGAGCGACGTCTGTGCCTTTAAAGGGGCTTCATACATCCGTCGGTGCAAAGCTGGAGAGGTGTAATCACGTTTGAAACCATGCCCAAATTATGCAGATGTTTTATTAAAGTCTAATCACAGTAACATGTTTAACTCAACAACTTAATGATTAATATAGGCTGTAAAAAAAAAACTGGGAAGCTGTGTAAGCAGCTTCTACTTATGGGACATTCACTGTATGCCGTAAGTGTATGAAAAGAATCTTATTCTTGAAAAAAAAAGTGTCTGTAATAAAACAATGTGTCACATTACATTATATGTAATATTTTAGTGGTAAAACTGAACTTTAAGCCTTTTTGCAGAGTATTCTACTCTATTACACTGAAATCCCCACACCCTGTTCGGAGATGATTGCGAATAAGATTAAAAAAACAAAACAAGAAAAAAAGACACCCACGCATTTAGTTAAAGGTTAGAGCAGAACGCCGCGGCTCCAGAGACTCAGAACTCCAGGGGCCACCCTTCCTGCCCGAACACCAGCTCCACCGCCTCTTTCACGTCGTGCACCACGAAGGAGGGCTGCGTGAGCACGGGGTCGAAGCGGAAGTCCCTGTGGCCGTGGAAGATGCGCTGCTCGGTGACGCTCTCCGCGGGGTCGGAGGGCAGCTCCTGCTGGTCCCTGCTGTACACCCCCGTGCACACCAGGATGGAGCTGCACCCGTCGGGCAGCTCCTCCTCTGACCCGTACGCGCTGGTCGCCCCTCCTAGTTCGGCCGGCGTCATTTTCGGGGCGTCGTCGTCGACGGCCTCCGCCTCTCCCCCGCCGCCCTTCGCCTGCTTCTGGGCCTTAGTGCGACGGCCGGCCTGGAGGTAGCGGTTGTAGAGGTTGGCGCCGTAAATGTCCGCCATGGGGTTATCGCTGAGAAACAGAGAAGTGGAGAGGTTTTTTTTTTTTTTTAAAACGGGGCCTTTCGTACCAAGGGTTTGGTGCCGTGGATGGGAAACGGAGATCGGCCTCACCCTATGGCATACAGCCTCTTCACGGGTGTGGTCCAGCCAAGTTTCTCAGCCTGCTGTCTGATCAGCAGCTCGGCGTAGTTATACGTCACCACGCTGGGTTTGCCGATCAGAGCCTCGTACTTCAGCTCGTGGCCCGTGACCTTTTTGTAGAGACTCTCTAGGCACACCAGGAACATGCCATGGCCGAACCTGCAACAGGCAGAGTTTGCAGTGAGGGAGCGCGACCCCAGCCGAATTGAGGCTTCATTCAGAGCCTCACGAGCGTGCGTACCTCGGATTCTTGGCCTCCGCCATCCACAGCAGATCCATGTTACAGGCCAGAACCGGAATGTGCGGATACTGGGCCGAACTCCAGGATTTCCCGGGGTCTCCGCTGGTTAGGAGCACATCAACGATAAGCTGGAGGTTGGTTTCCCATCTGATCGGCTCGCCAAATAAGATTACAGCTGTGGAATAAAAGAAGGAGAAACAACGTTTAACTGTCAATTCAAGGAATTGGAAGTCAGGTTTTTATTTATCAGCCACATGTGGAAACTTACCATCTATTTTCCGTAATCCTTTAGCAGGTGGAATCTGGAACACACAGATTTCAATGAGTACAATGCCTAGCTCATCTATAAAAACACAGTCTTAATTGTTATTCCTACTTACAATGTCTTTGGGCCTTCTGTTGTGATCCACAACATCTAAGACAGGGTATGCATCTCTGAGCATATCTATTGTAACTACATTCTCAAAGCCCAGGCTAGCGTTTGATGGGTTAAAGAAAAGAAACATCAGCGAAAGGGCTTCACAGCCACGGTTAAGCAGCAAAGGTACAAAGATTGAAAACTGATAACAACGTGGAGCAACCAACAAAATCGCACTGAATAAATAGACAGTGTACATTTGGCTTGGGTCAACAATCAGAACGAGAGCAGAAAGCAGAGTCGGTCAGTGACGACAGGATACTTGTGGGCGACTTCCTCCACGGGCCCTTGTCCTGAGACCAGCACGCTCATTTTGTGAAACTGTGTAAACATTCTCAAAGGACTGTGGGACAGCATCACCTGGTCCGGAGACACCTGCGATAAAAAGGAAAAAAACGACAGATTGAAAAGAAGGAAAAAAAATCAAGATAAAGCGGATGTTGACTAAATAAGTGGTGAGTTTTTACCTCCACCTCCAGCAGATGTGACAGATGCTCCGCTTTGGTCTGCCTCATGCAGTTCCCGGCGTTGGTCACAAAGACCACCGGCACCTTGTACTTGCCATTGCGGTCCACCAGGTTCCTGAAGCACTGCTTGGCCGCCGGGATCAGGGTTCTGCCTCGGACCAGCACGCCATCGATGTCAAAGAGGAGCCCGAAGGAGCCGGGGCCCTGAGGAGGGAGCTGGATCCCAGAGGGAGGAGGGGTGGGGGGGGGGGGGGGTTGCAGCAGGAACACACAAGGTTGTTTATTAACTTGAGACCACTAAACAATCTCATCTGTCTTTGTGATCTCATCACTTTAGACACACTGAACTCTATGAGATTGTGTACTCAGACTAGCCCCCACAACAAGCCCACTGAAATGGAATAGTCACTAACAGTAGTTTCAACCTGGGCTGTGACTGCTGCAATCAGGGTCGATCTGCTAAGATTTGAAAAGGAAAGTCACTTACATTACTATAATTTCTTGAGATGGAAGACGAGGTATTTGCTTGGTTAGCTGCTCCCTCACAGCGCGATTTCAGCAGCTGCCAGCAACTTCTGAGAGACCTGACTCTCTGCATGTCTCTGGCACTTGTGTGGGAAAAGTCCCCGGCGAGTAAACAACAACACACACACACACACACACGGCCGAGCTAGCTTTGACCTTCTGTGGCAACCGCCGATTCGGGGAGTTTGTCGGGAATCTGAGGACGCATCTACGGAGAAGAGTGTCAATGCTCGATAAAGTGCTGCGTCCTCATGCTGTTCCTGCAGCTGGCTCCATTCAGCAGGTACAAACGGCGGCACAATTTGCTGGTGACAGTTCGGGCGCATGCGCACTGGAGCCCGAGGGCCTCGATGTGACGTCAGAGTTTCGCTGAACGAAAACGCATGCGCTCGTATTTCGCTTTCGCAGAAAAGAAACTTATGTCTCATGGATTATTTTAGTTATTTATATATTGTTTTGCATCACGAACAAAACAACAGATTATCATTATAAAACGACATGACTTATTCTGAATTTCCAAACTGATCAAATAAAACATTATGAAAGAGATACATTTTTCAGAGGATTGTCAAAATTTCATTTTAAACAATAAACTAGACTATCTTTAAACCTTTATTTTTGCACATTTGCTTTCAATATTTAAATTTGATACCAAAATAGTCCCTAGGCAAAACGTTACATGGGGACTTCATAGAGTTTTACCATAACAAAGTTGATCTTTTCGGAACCAGGCAACCCTAATGATAATTTTTGATAAAATTCATGAATGTTGTCACAATCAAATGAGTCATGTTTTCTCTAATGCAAACCTGAAAATTTAATATATGTAGAGTTAAAAATAAGGAAGTTGTTCATTCATTTTTATAGTTAAAAAAATAAATACATGTGGGTTGCAATTGTGTATATTTTACTACTTAATGCAGATATTAGTGATAGGAAACACGAGCATAGAAGTCAGATTGTGCCCCATTCTGCCCTGAACTTAATTAGACAAAGCATTCTCTGGATGCCTATGGAGGCCAACAAAGATGTCCTCCATTATGCCGTAATGAGTCAAAGGTGTTTTTGTTCTATTGGGGGGAATGTCAGTAATACTGTGATTGCTTTTCTGTTGTGGCTCATTGTGTTTAATCAATATAATAAAGCTCATGTAATTATTTAAAAAAAATCAAGATCTTTATTGATTCAAAGTACAAAATATAAATTACATTTAGTTCAGGTGTCATAACAAACCATACATGAATTAATAACAGTAGTAAAGACAGGTAAAATGATGCCAGGTATAAAATTACATTCCTCAGCCAAATCTCAGCTCATTTTCTAGTCCATAGATCTTAGCCTTCAGCGCCATCAGCTCCCCCTGAGCCTTTTTCGTCCTCGTATTTGTCTGTCGTACCTCATGCAGAATAGCTAAGTCCTGGTTTGGCCCAATACTTAGGGTAACCTGACGAACAAAGGGGGTATCAGTGAATCACAACTTTTTGCTTTGCCATATATGTTAAGAAACACTTGGAATAAAAAAAGCTTGTTCTATTTACATAAAACAAGCCAGAAATACATCCCTCATGTCTTCTTACCTTGAGTAGCTGTTTCTCTACATCTTTGAGCTTCTGTCTTAGGTGTTTCAGGTCGGTCTTGAAGCCCTCCACCTCCATGGCCCTCCTTTTCTCCAAAGCTTCGTAACGTTGAGTCATCAGGTTGAGACGCTTGGCCATTTTGTCTGAGCGCTCCTGCAGTCATAAGTAGTATTGGTGGAAAATAATTTGTCTTTAACTGACCAAACAATACTTAAAGTGACTGAACAGACACTGGAATGATTCAAGCAGGCAAACCTTGAATATTTCCCTGCCCACATCTCCTTCCTCCCTGATCTGTGACAGTTCTGTCTCCAGAGAAATACACTGCTCCCTGTACATCTCGGCCAGACGGTGAGCTTGCTTTAAGTCCTCTTGCAGAACCTGAAAAGTCATTAGAAGAAATAACAAAACAAGCCAATGATATCCATTGTGCCACAGAAACAGTAATTATTATAATTCTCAACCTGAATCGGGACTAACTTCTTGAGGTCAACATGAGTTGAGTGGTGTCACCTTAAGCTCTTCCTTGTGAAGCTGCTCCAGCTCCGGCTGTGGTCGAGGGAGGAGAGGCGCCGTGCTGCTGCTGGGCTGCCACGTTCTTCCCAGCTCACTGCTGACCGGCCGGGCCTTTCGCAGGCGGTTATGGCAAGAGTCCAACTCCCTGAGCAGCCGATCCTTTTCCACCATCCAGCTCTTCTCCAGGGCCCGACTGTCAAACTTTAGCTGCAAGAAATCTTTAGTGCTCTCCTGTAAAAGGCTCTGGGTCCGCTGGAGCCTGATGGAAAATGATAAACACGATGTCGTACAAATGCTTTAACATCTAAAGATTCTGAAGTGCTTCTTTGAAACAGAAACAAAAAAAAGTGAACTGCAAGTCTCGGCATAAAGGGGGCTCACCGGTCAGTCAGAGCAGTGATGCGTTCCTGGTCTTTCTGCCGTTGTGCCTGTGCCTCTTCTGTTTTAATCCTTCGATCCTCCAGCAGAGCCTCCACCTGCTCTTTGGCCAGACGGGTCTGTTCCTCCATCTGAGCCTGCAGCGCCTCCACCTGGAACACAGTCATATAAGTCATTACAAAAAAACACTGTGTGAACAAAGAAACATAAGAGAGATACAATAGATGCCAGTCATTTTGTTGGAGCCCTACCTGAAGCAATAACGTCTGGTTATCGTTCTTATATTGTTGCAAGCTCTCTCCACCGACCCCATTGGCTGACTTTGTTCTCCTGCTACTCTCTGTCACACATCAGAGTCAAACAGTTGTTATTCATCTTTAAAGCTTTTTTTAATTACAAAAGTAGATGTTTTTTAACCTTTTGCAGTTGCATCTGGTTTTAATTTTGTTGGTCTGAGATTGAGATTTTCCTCAAATGTGGATTCTGGGCGCCTCTGTGCTATTGTAACCTGAAAACACCACAGTCATATTTTCAAAACATTTTTATTCCTGTCTTAGAAACATAAAAAGACACCCGAGGTAGCTTAAATACTTTATGCTTTACTGTTTTCAACCTAAAAGCGTAAAGTATCACCTACGAGTCAAATCCTGGGGGAGAAAAAAAAGCTTCCAAAAAAGCCTGTCATGCTGTGAGTGCACACCTTGTGAGGAGGCTCCCGGTGAAAATATGTGATCTCTCCTGCATCAGGACCAACGAGGGCAAGAAGGTGTTGGATTTTCTTTCGGTCCTCCAATTCTCTGCAAAACAGTGAAGCATTTTTAGGCACATTATGAAGAGAGTAAAAGAGAACATTTTTTACAGAAAAGAGCACCTACCTGATCTTTAGTCTGTCATTTTCTGCATAAAGTCGCAGTGACTGCTCTCTCTCTTGGAAGAGGTAGACCTGCATGTCACTCAGAGCGTTTTGAAGCTCTGTGATTTCTCCCTCGCGCTGTCGTAACTCCCACTGCAGCTTATGCTTTAAGTACACAGACGAACACAGAAGATCAAAACTGATGAAACTGTTTTTCTGGCACGTCTTACAATCACTGGCACACAAGAGCTCCAAACTCCCACCTGGTCTTCTGTGACTCCTTTATACTTCTCCAGCATCTGCAGCAGGTCCTCGTGCTCACCGTCATACTGAGCGATCTTCTGCCTGTAGAACTCCAGCAGCTCCCTGGAAGGACGAAGGTACGCCAGTCGCTCATGGATGGGAGGAAGAGGGGAGTCGTTTTCTTTGTTTGGGGTACGAAAGCTTGCCCTGATGGAAAAAAAACAAAAAGAAAATATTTTATGAATAACTTTGAAGATGATGCAACAATGCACAGATCTCTGATTTGGATAATGCACGTTTACAGCTTAACAGCGAGTATCAGGTTTCAAAGACATTTTCCCCTGCAGATCTGTGCTGTCTGTCTGCACCAAGCTTTGGACACATCAACCCTGCACTATTCAGCCATCAAAATTAGACTGGAGTGAAGCTTTAGACCATCTATAAGAGATGAGACTGAAGCAGCAATGGAATGAAAGACATTACATTCAGAGGCATTATATCTGCATAACTCTCTGGCAATATCCTTCTCTAGAATAATAAAAAAGGCCCTATTCACTGTCTTATACTAAATGTTCTTACCTATGTGGAGTTGTGTGTTTTGTTGGAGATCCCATCCCAGCAGAAAACACTGAAAGCAATAACAGAAAAGTTATTTTTATGAGCAGCACTGGCTGTTACAATGTATAACTAGAAAAATTGATTTTTTTCTGCATGTTGTCCAAATTTCCACAGTTGTTACGGTGTTAAAAAGATAAACCAATAAACATTGCTTGCATATGCAAGAAAAAAACGTTATTGTTTTTTTTTTGTTTGACCAATGTATAGTATAAACTCAAATATACAACAGAGCTGAAAACTTGTAGAAATGATTCTATCGGTGCTTTATCTTCTCTCTTCCGAGGCTAACGACGACGCAAAGTGGGATATTTCTGTTGCCATGGAGCTGGGCGGCAGCGTGAGCGGGACACGCACACACTTATCTCCGTGCAGCCACACGTTTTGTAATGGTTAAAAGACGCCAGCTAAATTAACATTGTACTTGAGAACACTGAAACCGGACTTTAAAGATAATAAAAGTAAGAGCTGAACAGTGTGGTCATTTTTGTCAAAAGGAAAGCCTTTAAATCGTTGTTGACAAGAGTAACGTGGCATGTGGCCTTGATATACATCAACAGAAATGTAATATATCTAACTTTTGCTATTTTAATATAGCACACAACTTAACTGTACGTACCAAAACACTATTTGTAATATTCTCGGTTGTGCAGAGCCGTGGAGTTACTTTTTCAAAACCAGGAAGTCTCCGCCCCCTTTTCTTCTTCGTGGGAATGCCAGCTAAAAAAGTTGCTGCTGACACCAAGCGACAGGCGGAGTGTCGATCAATTACAAAATGGCACAAATTATTCATATTTGTAAAAACAATTCCTTACAAAGACATTTTTCTCGTGAAATTGCCAGTTATTTGGTTTTATTACTTATCAATGCCATTGTTTTTTCGACACAGCAATTTTGTCAATCTAAAAGTCTTAACCGGAGCATTAAGGTAAAATTGCCTGTATAAGGTTTCAAATGTAGTATATTAGGAGATGTGAAGTTTAAATCGATTAACCTGACTACATAAATTACTTAAAGAACGCCCTTTAAGCTCTCTACCACTTGTCTTATTATGAAAAGCGCAACAGGAAACAGCTGCTATGAGTAACTGGACCTAATTGATGACCCGGTCTGGTCCTGTCAAAACTAACCAGGACGACGAAACTAACGTTGCACCGTTTTCGACTGCTTCTCAATAATGGAGCGTAAAGTTGCTCGGGAATTCAGGCACAAGGTAAGACGATAAAACTACTCTACTCTGTAAATGCTGGCTGACGGCTCCCGGACAAAGCCCCTATCCACCTGTGAGTTATCCCGGAGGCTCAGGCGTCTCCGCCGGGGGATGTTGCGCAGACAGAGGCCCAAGAAAAATATAGCCAAGAAAAAAGAGCTGCCAAACCATGGGAAACTTGTTCAAAAATACATAGCCCAGTATAAACAGCAACTTGTGCGCATCGATCTGTGCTAGAATAATTTGAAAATACAACTTTTGTATTTTGGACAGTGGTTCTCTGAAGTACAAGGCAGAGAAATACTGATGCAACATGTCAGTTATATTTTAATAACCTTTGGAAGAAAAGTTCATTTGAAAATTATTTTTCACATCTTAATTGATAATTAACTTCTGATGGGGACTATTTTTTCTTCATGACTAATCTACATCATGAAAATACACTTAAAACATCATTGCATGCTTGTTTATTAGCTAATTTATTCCGAAATATAATTTGAATTATACGACTTTCTGAAATTTGTCCAGTTAAAATGCGTAACTACCACAATTACCTCAAGTTTGACCACTCTTTTAAGCATATCCGCTTTTTTGTCATGAGAATAACCTTTGGCCACAATAGATTTCCATGTTTTAATAAGATACATAGTGTGACTTTGATTAAAATAATGTAGCATGTCATGTCAGTTTCTATTCTGATGTGTGGTTGGTGTTGGCAATCCGACATAATTTTTACGTCCTGAAAAAAAGGTGAGAGATAGGGAATTTAATATGTTCAGGGCTTTTTCTGCTGCTGAGCATGCGTGGATCACCACCAAGCCATCTGTGTGGTAGAGCCTTGTATTGTGTTCACAAAGGCCAGCTCAATGTTGGATAATGTGTCAGATATGAGCAGCTGAGCAGAAGAGATAGAACAATTTACAGCTTTCATTAGACACAGAGGGGAGGCCACAGTGAGGCTTTGTTTCTTTCGGGGATGCATTTGAATAGTTATTTAATGAGTGTCAGTTTTACAGTCATTACTTGCTCAGAGAAATTGGTATACTGTTATTACACTGTCGTTAGTCATGATAAAAATTGGGTGAAGGCTGATTTTTCTAAAGGTTTACAGAGTGACTTTTCCATTTTCCATCCTGTGCTTTTCAAAATGGATGTTTTACTGATGATTACTGTCCCCCCTTGTTGTTTTATGGTGCCAAAGTCTGCAGTTCAGTCTGTGGAAGAAGGAAACTCCCTCCACTCACTGAGCATGAGCAATTTATGACAGCCATAAAGCTTATTTAGCACACACCCATCGTAGTTCAGTTGACCTGCCTTAATTTCACACCCCTCGATAATTCAGACGCTTCAGAATATCAGAAGCTCATACAGTGTGTTCTCAACATCTCTATGTTTTTATCTCCGATGATTAAAAACGAGTTGTGAGTGTAGTTGGGTGTCATCTCTGCGATGTAAGGTGACACCGCTGACCTTCCTGCTGCTAACTCTCCTCAGCTCTGCCACCTTTATTCTCTCCCCGTGGGTAGATTGCAAGGCAAAGACAACCTGTCATGTTACCCCACAAGACCGAGACAGCCTAGTTTTAGCCCAGCGTTTGACCTCGACTGTAAAACCGAGGCTCTGGGCTTATTTGAGACGCCCGTAGTGAAGGGATAGATGTGTAGAATGTGCATCAGTTTTTGGCCAAAGCGTTTCCTAAAAACTGTCCTGCTGCATCTGAGCAGTCATCAGGTTTGAGTGACTCCTGCACACGCACACAGCCGGTCCCCACAGGGACACTGAGTGTCTATGAGCCCACCGAAGATGATGGAACCGGATTTTTTGTGTTTTTTTTGCAGGTGGAGCTGCTGATCGAAAATGAGGCAGAGAAGGATTACCTGTACGATGTTCTTCGCATGTATCACCAGTGAGTATCCATTTCTCAATATGTGTACTGAGTTAGTTCAGTAACAACTCAAAGCTCTATATGTATTTGAAATTAATCTTTTGATGGCTGTTAAACTTTTAATTTCCTCAAAAAATGTTGAAATTTGCATTTTGAACAGGACTTGGCGAGAGAGGTTTTTATGCAGATTTTTAAAAAACAAAAACAAACGGGGAAAAGAAGACAGTGATTCTTCAGTTTCAGATTGGGTTCCTGTGTAACAGAAATGCTGTTTGTCAACTATAGTTCTTGTCTAAATGCATTGTATCCAGTTGCCTCTTTTTATTTTTTCCTGATAAATATCTGCTATTCGTTCTGGTTTCATTTAAAGTGTGTTTGTCTTGGAAAGCTCCACACAGCCGGGGGGGTGAGGGGGGTCCATGTCTTGAAGGTTTCATTTCATCTTTGTAAAGAGGCAGAGAACTCTGTAGCTGAGCCTCAGATCAGTTTCCACTGAGCTTTGATAAGCCTGGCCAGTTATCAACAAAAGCCCTTTTTATGTTCATCCTCCAAAGAGGCTAAATGGCACTTATTAATTATTTAAAATGAAGGCCACTCGGACATTTGCGTTTATTTAGCTGCTTTTGTTGCTGTTCTAGTGGTCTATAGTCTTCCTTTAAATGGTAATAGAGACCAGATTGTGTTCTCTTTTCCATCGGTGTGCAGGTACTATCTTTTATCCTGTTAAAAATAGAAATGAAAAACCCAATGGGATGTATGGAGGTCCTGGAGAGTGCTGTGGCTTCGTAGAGACTTTTGTTACTGCAAAGCGAGCTTGAATATCAGATTAATCAACTTGTAATTTGTCCCATATGGAGTTATATAATGAATTGGCAGCTTGCCATCTGCAGGTGGGATTGAGGGATCCTCAGATGACCAATTATCCAGATTTGACTTTTTATCACATCATGGAATGACAGATTTGCCCCTCGGATTGGAGACGGTGTTTAACTGTCTATGACTACAACTAAAGTTCATGAAAAATATGAGCTCATCTGTACATAATAACATCTCTCGGTCAGATCTAATCGATTCTGAATTTGGCTTCAGTTTAAATATCTGCTCTCGTTTTTCTCAGGTCGATGGATTTGCCTGTGCTGGTAGGAGACCTGAAGCTGGTTATCAATGAACCCAAGCGCCTCCTGATTTTTGACGCCATCAGACCTCTCATCCCACTCAAACACCAGGTGGAATATGACCTGCTCACACCCAAGAGGTCACGGTGAGTGCAGCGTAGAAGTTTGATTTCCCACAGACATCACAACAGCTTACCTTTCCTGACTTAGCGTTGACGAATCGTCTTTGTTTCCTCGCTTTCCCAAACCACTCGATGTCGCAGGAAGCTGAAAGAGGTGCGCTTGGATCGAACGCACCGTGATGGATTGGGTCTGAGCGTCCGAGGAGGGCTGGAGTTTGGCTGTGGCCTCTACATATCACAGATTGTCAAAGATGGACAGGCTTATAATGTTGGGCTGCAGGTATGGACACATTTGTTGTGGCATGTAGCTCAGAGTCATGCCAGCAGAATCCTCTAGGTGGAGTAAACAATCAGAGCATGGACATCTGGTAGATATGCTTTGCCTGGAATTACTATAAAAAAAAAGACATTTAGTAAGTAGTAATTTATTTAAAGTTATTGAATGAATTATTTAATGAAAAATGCTTTGATCTTTATTTCTGTTTCTACTTGTAACCCACTTAAAACTTAATACTGATGTATTTCAGGGAAATAGTTTCTTCCTGAAGAAACTCCATCAGTCAATAACATAAAGTGATAGTCATATATTTATATGTATATGACATAGTATCCTTTTAATGAATTTCTATATCACACCACAGTTACACAGCTGCTTAAATCATCATTAGGAAACATGTGCAGCTGCCAGGAGCAGAAACCTTGTAATAGTGCATGTCACCATGTTTTCCATTTGCAATTATAGACTGAAAATACTGAATGTATAACATGATTTCCTTAATAAAAAAGAATACCTTTTTTTTATATGTATAACTTTTATTGTTACCCTAGGAATTTAACTATTACAATATCTTGACCTTTAAAGAGAAGATGCTTAATGTAGACACATATTTCTTCTCTAAGCCCCCTCTTTTGCAGCCGTTGCACACATAAACTCCAAGTTAAATCACTCACATAAATAAATAAATACATAAATGACCCAAATCTAATTTATTCAATGGCAGGAACATACGGAAAGGCTTGATTAAAAGTCACCCCCTGCCTGACCTAGACAGATATATTGGAATTGTCTCCTGTGTTGATTCTTAGGTTGGTGATGAGATTGTGCGCATCAATGGATACTCCATCTCCTCCTGCATCCACGAGGAGGTCATCAGTCTGATCAAAACCAAGAAGATTGTGTCTCTTAAAGTTCGACGTATGTCAGACTTGCGCTTTTCATTTAAAACCAAGCACGTATTTGGATTTCTCCTCTTATATTTCTCTTCTTTTTCTTCTTTCTTCAGATGTGGGCATGATCCCAGCAAAAAGGTTACATCTTAATTAATTTTCACCCTCCCTGCTGCTGTGCTGCTAACGTGCAGACTTCACCGTGCTCTCTGTGCTCTTTCCCATTCCTCCAGCTCTTCAGATGAACCCCTCAAGTGGCAGTTTGTGGATCAGTTTGTGTCAGAGTCTGGGGTAGGAGATTTGGATTTCCTTCCCTGCTTTACCAGCTTTTGTACTATTAATTTACAAAAGGAAGGAAGTTTTCATAGACCTCTTCTGTTCTGCTCTAGGAGAAGAAAAGCAGTGTGGCTGGCTTGGCATCCATGGGCGGGAAGGAAATCAAAGAGAAGAAAGTTTTCCTCAGTCTTGTGGGCACAAAGGGTATGGGCATCAGCATATCCAGTGGTCCGACCCAGAAGCCTGGCATCTACATCAGCAACGTCAAGCCGGGCTCCCTCGCTGCAGAAGTTGGACTTGAGGTGAATCCCTTCAAAAAGCCACACAGCCTCTATGAAATAGCCGCATTCAGAGAACTGTACATCTCCCCTGTGTAACTATAGATTGGAGACCAGATTGTAGAAGTGAATGGAGTGGATTTCACCGCTGTGGATCATGAAGAGGTGATTTTGGACACCTTCAGTACTGTTTACTCTTCATTTGTCTATTGATAAGAAGCTCATAAAACCACAAACATTTTTGAAAAATACCAGGTCTCTTCTGATGCCAGGGGAAGTTATGTCTTCCATCACTGCCCTGTTTAATCACAGAAGAACCTTTGTTATTTGCATCGTCTTTTTGAGAAATAGTTGCAGTTTTCATCTTAAGAGTATCCATCTAGTATTCCCTTTTTATCAGTAAAGTGTGGTGTTTTTAAATTTCCAGGCCGTCAGAGCCTTGAGAAGCAGCAGGAGTCTGACAATCACAGTTCTGACTGGAGCTGTAAGTATGCACTCCTTTATGTCCCGTGACTCTGTCTGAATAACTGTCGTGTGTGTGCATTCTTTTTTCAGATCAACACTCATATCGGTGTAATTGGTTTTCACTAAGGTTTTATAGACAAAAAAGCAATTACTTGGAGATATTCCACTGATTAGAATTGTGAAGATAAGACAGTCATATTGAATTAAATGTGATGAATAAAGATCGGACATAAAATGCACATTTTAAGTTACATTGTTGTCAGTGGGGTCGGTGACAGAACAGGAAGCTGAAGGCCGAAGGACTAGAACTATTTATTCTACTGGCATAAGAAAAAAAGGTGTTCAGATAAAGAAAAAAGCTGAGTCAGATCAAATCTTTTAACCTCTGTAAATATGTCTTTTACACAACATCTTCTCTCTTTCCATGCCTGCATCCTACAGAATAGAGTTCCTATTCATTCAGACGACATTGAATTACTCTTGCCTTAGCCTGACCATTTGCAGGAGCAACATTTATTCTCAGGCGAGCCTCTTGACAGGCTGTTTGCTCTGGAACTCATTCAGGAGAACTGTGTAAGACAAACACTCCTGTCTTAGTCTTAAGCATTGCAGCTTTCATAAAAAACTAAGATTAGAAACTTTTCTCAAAACCTTTATGATATATGATATAACTTCTCGGATGACAGTAGCATCCATTATTTTTCTCTCTTGTATGCAGAGCTGGTTTGAACATACCTGCATGCCTCTAGAGACAAGAAGTCGCAGAATTCCTGCTGCATGTTGTGCCGATCACTGATGGTCTCCTCTGCCTGTTATCCCCCTCACAGGGCAGCGAGCTGTTCATGACAGATGAGGAGCGTCATGCAGTGGAGGCCCGCAGAGAGCTGGACCGGCAAGAGCTAATGCACCAGAAGAAGGTGGCAATGGAGACCAACAAAATCCTTAAAGAGCAGCAGGAAAAGGAGAGGCAGTAAGTGAACAAGTTCTCATTAAAGATGCTGTGTCATCAGTTTTAGATCACAAGAGAGAAACATACCATTGATCAAATGCCTTGTGTAGAGGCCCAAAAGAAGGTTTCCAGTATTTTAACTTTTTAATTAATACAAATTCTTAAGTGATTACCATTTAAATAATGTACCAAACTGCAGGAAGCCTAAATCTTTATTTTAAAAAAAGGAAAATGTTTTAAACCACATGCTAACAAAATAGGTAGACCACGTTATTCAGACAAGAAAACTGAGCAAACACTGTGTTTGGGATGGATTCCAAATGTGTTAAATGTTGAATAAACAGCAGAGCGTTAAGTGTAATTATACAGAAGTGGTGTCCAGTAGCTCGTATCAAGTGTAAGGCAAATGTTCTTTTTTATTTGTGCAAATTAAGTGCAACCAACTCTGACAAAGTAAATTAACAATGCATCCAAGTATCAGTTTAAGACCTTGAAAATACGATCTACCAGAAACTGTCTTCCATCAAGAAGGCAAAGATCTCTATTTGTTGTTTCTTGTGGCTCGACCTTCTTATTCAATCAGTAGCCACAAATAAATGAGTTGTTATATAACAAAAATGTGCTGTTAAAAAACAGCAGTGTTTTCTGGAAGTGAATAGCTCTGTGTGTCATATGTTACAGGGCTGACATTCTCTTACGCTCCTACTAGTAGCCATAAACTGGAATAAAGTCATATATCCTGCTTTTACTGCCCTGCTGCGGGCATCGGCTTTACGTTGAGACCTTTATGTTTATGGTGTGTTCCACAGGAGAAAGATGGAGATCGCTCAGAAAACCGCAGAAGAAGAGGAGCGCTATAAGAAAGAGATGGAGAAGTACACGACTGTTTTGTGCTTTCAGCCCCAGTAAAGTTCCATCTCGACATTATTTTAAAGCCTATAAACTGTCATCTGCCTGTGTAGGATTGAAGCTTCAGAGGTGAAACACAGCAGAGAGTGGGAGGAGGACTGGGGATCCAAAGAAAGGCCGAAGAGCCCAAAGAATTCCCGTTCAGCCAAAAGCCCCACACGCAGTGACATGAAAACCACTCCGCCGTCAAAGGCCAAGAGTTCTCGTACGAATGCACAACAGCTTTCTGCTTAACATGCATGAATCATCCTTTTACTCCTGAACTCGTCCTTCTTCTGAAAGCATAAAGTGATGTGTGTTTCCACCCATTTTTCCTTTTTGTGTGCGTGCTCTCTGCCTGTCGTCCTGTCACTGCTGTGTGCTGTGCTTTTCACGACCTCTCCTCTAAGCTGGTGAAGCATTCATAGAGGAAGATGAGGAGGACGAACAGGATACCTATGTGAGTCTCGCCTGTCATTTTGACAGCCATTGTAGGCGGATGGCTGTTCAAATTTATATATTCTACTGTCTACTTAAAAGACAGGGGCAAGGTTTCCTTTGACAACCAACGTGTAGTAAGCAGATTCAAAATACTGAATCCTCTGAGTTAATGTCAGAGACGCGAATCTGGCTCGAATCTTTAACTGGCTTCACACAAAAGGCTTAAAATCTGCTTTTGTTCTATCGGATCAGGCTCAGTGTCGGACTTCTTTTCTTTATGAGAGCTGAGTTGTGGCTTCTTCTGTTAGGTCTTTCATTTTAAAATAGCGATGATAAACTGCATGGAGTGTGCTGAGGTCGGATATAGACTGCGGTGTGATTGAAGTTTAACTTTCCTGAGTGACCTATGTTCATCTCCTCCCTTAGCGTTTGGCTGGTTTTATCGATATGAGGGGAAACTGCCATCGCTGCGTAAGGTACTGTCAGCTGTTTGCAGTGTTTGAGGGTTGCTCAAAAAGGGAATTCCCTTTCCAACAGGTCTTTACATCATTGTGTAAATTTAGCTGTTTGAAAGTGGGTAGATTTATTCTTTTGAGTATTCACAAAAGTGACTTGTGTCCCAAGTTTTTTTTTTTTTTCCCGTGTTGCATGTGGTGCCATGCCTTTTTCTGTTCAATCAGTTTTACTTTCAACTGGTGATTCCTCAGAAAGGTGAGAAGAAGAAGAAAAAGAAAAAAGTTTCCAACACTGACACGCTGCAGGAGCAGAGAAAAAACAAGAAGGAGATGGAATTTGAACTGAAGCTGGCCAAAGAGAAAGAGGAGATGCATGAACGAGAGAAACAACTCAAAATCAACCGCCTGGTTCAGGAGGTATGACGAGAGTGGACAGAGTCAGATTCAGACGGCATCAAATAGATCAAACAAAGCATACAACAGAGCCTTGTTGTATGCTTTGGTCATTGAATAGCTGAACATGGTAGCATAGCTGAAGGGCAGTCTGATGCTGCTTGGCTCTGCCCTCACACCAGGTTTCAGAGACTGAAAGGGAGGACCTGGAGGAGTCAGACAAAGTGCAACACTGGGTGGAGCGTCTGTGTCAGACGCGTTTGGAGCAGATCTCCTGCGTGGAGAACGAATCCCCAGAGGTACAGAGTGAGGTCACCTCTGCGTAAAAAAAAAAGCTCTTTGAAAGCCAGTCGGTGGTATAAATGTAGTCCTTTAAAAGAGGATTTTTAAACATTTGCGGTGAAATAATCATTACAAAGAGATTTGAGCTGGGAGGTGAAATATCTGTAATTTCATTGTGACTTAAAGCTCTCCCCGCCACGCTCTCCTGCGTCTGAGCCGAAGGTGAAGCGCTTCCCCGGCGGCCTCCATCTGGCCACCACTGATCTGGATGACATCAACCTGGACCAGGTGGATCAGAGCCTGAAGGGACCTCTGAAAAAGCTTTCTCCCACCCAGCCCAGCACCAGCCAACCTCCCCCTCCCTTACCCCGCCCCCCACCTTCCCCCAAGCTGAACCCAACCATTCCCAACTATTCCTCTTCTCCTCAAGTGTCCCCTCAGCGTCGGCATCCCTCTCCCCCCGCTGCCAGGAAACCTCCCTCTTCCGGATCCACTCTGACCACCAGAGGGCGTAGGCCTCCTCAGCAGCACCGCCGCTCCCACCCTCCTCGCCCGCCGTCCTCCCATCAACCCCCCCCCACTCACTCCTCCAGGCCTCCATCATCCCCTCAGCCCTCACCACGTCCTCCTCCTCCTCCACCACCCCCCCCCCCCCCACCACCACCCCCGCCTCCCCCTCCACCCCCTCCCCCGCAGCACTCCGGCGAACATGTAGGCGCTCCCGCCGGCCACCGCCAGCAGCACCATCACCACTACCTCCAACATCCCCCCAGCCCCCCAGAGCACAGGAGCGAGTGGGAGGCAGGCAGGTATCTGCCCAGAGGGGGGATTTACTCATCCAACACCAGTGAAATGTCATACCCCTCCAGCCCAAAGGTTCGATAAGATTCATGCTTCTTGGTGTGAGAAGCATGAGGAGTGAGGGTTGCTTCTTTCTCACCGCTGGCATGTTCCCAAACAAACCCTCTATTTTAGGTTTGTGTGCCTGTTGTTTTATGCATGAGCAGAGAGCCGTACGTGGTGTTGGTCTGATCAAACAGGGCAGGTAGCTCAGTTTGTTTTTGTGCTTTCTTATAGTTAGTGGCATGTTGGCTGTGGTGTGCAGAGGAAACATTTTCATAAAGCCCCCCCGTGTGTTTGCTGCTGACCGAGGGCTGGTTGCCTTTGTGAAGGGTTTGAATGCATCAATGGTGTGCTGTGATGTGTAAGAAAATAAAAGGGACTCTGAGTGTGTGTTGCATTGTGGCGGTGCTCTGTAAGCGCCAGAGGGCTTAAAGCTTCATTGTGTTCTACTGTGGTGTAGGTTATGAGAAATACTTCCCATGCCAGTCGTGTTTCCAACTCCAGCAGCCCGCTGGTGAGTCTCCTCCTGTGCTAATTAAATCAGCCGTGTGCTTTGGAGTCTAAACGATGAGCTTTACCAACTTGTCGTTTGGAAACGTGGTCTTTCACCAATAGCAAATGGCTCCCAGCCCCCCCAACCAGAGGCGTCAGACGGCCCCCGTCATGTCCAAGCCCGTCATGCTGCCCCAGTCACAGATGCATCGACCAGATCCACACAGGTCTGCCCACCGTACTGATGACCTGGTACGATACACAGCGCGATGTGAGCAGTGAGGCTCCTGACACATCCAGTCTGCAGCCAAATAATATGAGTGTGTGCCACAAACATGTGGTTTGTCAGCACTGCTAACTATTTCCTCTCAGAAATGCTGACAAAACTGCACATATGATTTGTTTCTATTAACTTTATTAAGTTAAAAGACTGTTTTCTTTTTTTTTTTTTTTACCATTCCCACTTCACATAAACAGTCAAGCTGCCAGCTGAGCACATAGTGCAACCACATTCTTCAACGCCTGCTGCCAGAGTTGAGGAAAGTGAGACTATGTTGAGTGTAGCAGCAGCAGCAGCAAGAGGTGCAATAAATCATCACTTTGCTCCTGGTCAGACATATGTGCCGCTGGCAAATTAGCGCCTTAGGAATTTCACAGCTTTTTCTTCTGTTTGTAATAAAGTTTTTGAGCTAGTGCTGTACTGTAACAAACAACAAACATTTTTATTAGTAGGTACAAAGGCAACGTTTTAAGGTTCTCATCCCCACTGTGAATTTTTTATACTCTTCATAGCTCACATTATCTTTTAAAAACAAAGGGTCCTCAGATGGACACATGTCCATGCATTTTCAATCTTGTTATGTTCCACAGCCCAAATGAGAAAATAATCGATGGGTGCCGGTCGCTGGCTGACAGCTGCTCATCACAATGAGCCCTCTCATTCTGCCTCAGCTTAGTTCAGTCAGAAGTCAGTTCCGTAAATTTGCTATATCACTTAGCATGTTTTGTGTTTCAGCCTCAGGAAATGCTAAAGCGGATGGTGCCCTTCAACACATCTTTTAAATCAAACAACAGAAGACAAGTAACCCCCCCAACCCTCTCATCACCTACGGTGGAGTTGCTCTCGAGGGCTTTTTCCCCGTTTTTCATTTGTGTCTTGTTTTGTTCTCACACAGCTTGGGTGTGCTAATAGTCGACTCAGTGATAACTCGCCTTGGTTTCTCACATTGTTCCTTCTTCTGCTGCCTGCCAGCCTTTTTATCGAGAGGTTCATGCATGGCTGCACTTTTATCGATTGGGAGCTGACAGTGCTGGCAGTGAGCACGATGCACCGTGTGGAAATGCATGTGACACTGTTGACGTGATGCTGCTCTGATCTAAAAGACTCCCAGTGGTTCTGATCTGTCGATTCCACTCAGACCAGTTTTGATTACGAGAATGCAGAGAAGTGGCTACTTCACTTTATTTGAATGAATATTATGAACTAGTGTTTTTTTTCTGCCATTTCAAATTCCAGATCAGGAGTGTTGTTTTGACTAATGGCAGCCACTGGATCAGGTTACAAAAAAATAAAACCTTTTTTTTTTATTTAAATATGAAGATCTATGGAAACCAAAAGCTACTTTGTGTGTTTACTCTGCTGAGAGATAAATGACTGAGCTGAACAAATATAATCCCTCTGAGGGCTTTGTTCCGTTTCCTTCTTCCTTCTCCCATGAAATTAGGTAACTGTCTTCTGAAGATAAACTGATACTTTGCATGGATGTTACTGTAAATTACTGTTGTCATTATTGGATTTATGTGTGAAGCTTTAATAGGTTCTGTGCTTATTCGGTCTTGTCTGTGCGGCTTGTTCTTGTTTACAGCTGTATTTAACATAGCACTGGTTGTCAAAGGAAATCAGACCTCTCTTGACAAAAAGATGTTTTGTTAATTAATTTCATGTTTACATGTTGATCAGTTTGAATGAACTGCATCTTTTCCTTTTTTTCAGGGATTTCAGAAAAACGTGGAAGACTTTGATCCCTACTCCATGGTACAGTGAGGCCTGATGTTTCACAGCAGTAAAGCAGAGAGTGCACTATATGTTCAGCAGTTTGAAAATTACATTAATTAGTCGTTGATCAACAGCAAAAACTAATGTGGATCCTTCTGTATTTGAATCCGTTTGAGCAAAAGCTATTGTCTCTACTGATTATTTTTTAATAGTACCACTGATATTAGCAAATTAGTTGAGACTAGCAATGCAAGAACCATACATAGATATTAGAGTTATACTCTTTTAGCCATATAAACCTTTAGTGTGTAGCATGTATATGAGCTACAGGGTTTAAGTAAGTTAACTTCTGGCACCTGCAGATGCAACTGGGGCAGAAAAGCAGCTCTATCTCTGATGCTGCTGTAAAAAATTCATGGCATGTTAACACTGAATTTCTGATTTAGAATTTGGGGTTGTTTGGGGTTGTTTCATGTTGGGAAATAGATGCGTTGTGTGGCTTATGTCACCCCAGATAAAGCTCGGATTCCAAATATGAAAAAATGGCTTCCTTGTGAGTAACAGAGATTGTTGATCTTTACTTGTGTGGTCTTTTTGTGAGCATCAGGCCTTTTTTATTTGTTTTTATTTTAAATCTTTTCCTAACAGTTTTCCTCAGACCAGATTGCCGGCCGAGATGTCAGACTGCTGAGAATCAAGAAGGTAGTCACAGCCGTTGCTTTCCTGGGAGTGCTCAGTTTGTTAATGAGGCTGGCCTTTCTTTTAGCTTTAAGATTAAAATGCCTAAAGATGGCTTTGTGTTTCATTCCTTTAAGACTGGCCAGCTTGACCTGGCTTTGGAGGGAGGAGCGGACTCTCCTTTGGGAAAGTTGGTGATATCCGCTGTGTATGAAGGTGGTGCTGCTGATAAACACGGTCAGTTCACTCTTGGCTTTAGCAACACGACCGTAAAGGACACAGAATAAAAGCAACATGACTCTGTTCAACACCCAAAAGGTCAAATGTATCCCTAAAGCAAAACTGGCCTGAGTGTGTCTGCATTATTTACCTGTAAATTGTTTGTGCCTCATGTTGTGAGGGTTATGCCAGTTAACTGTGTATGGTGTGTGTATTTGTAGGTGGAATCGTCCCTGGAGATGAGCTCATGGCTGTGAATGGGAAGATCCTGATCGATGCCGGTCTGACTGAGGGACAGAACTCTCTGGCCCGGGCCTGGAACAGTGGAGGGGTATGGGTCTTACCTCAAAATGAAATACCACATTCCTATTTTTTTCTTCATCAAAACATCCCTTAAGTGTCCGGTTGTGTCTGCCATAAATTAAGCTCAGGTTTTTTTTTTTTTATCCTCAGGATTGGATCGATGTGGTGATTGCTGTGTCTCCTCCTAAAGACTATGAAGATGAAGTGTAAGTGTTTAACTGATCAAGCGCAGTGTGTGACAAGTTGAATATCTCATGTAATGATGAAATTGGCGCGGTAGTTTACGGTTTGTGGCTCGTGTGTCTGTGTGTGTGCATGTGTATACAGCGCTAAGTCAGCATCAGTCAGTCCCACTGTGAACAGAAAGGTGTTTGAAGGCAGTGCAACTCTGTACAGACACGGCTACCTACTTCAGCACTAGCCCTTCCTCTTCTCCTACCTCACCCTCATCTGGTAATTGCCTTAGTCCTCAACCCTCCTCTTCTTCACCGCACGTCAGAGAGGGTGTTTGCTGTGGAATTTGGTTTTGTTTCGGCCCATGTTTTGTTCTTAAGGACAGTTGACCGTCTCTGTCAGAAAAAAAAAACTGCAGTATATAATTTGGTGTTTGGCAGATTTATATGTGACTGTTTCCGCTCATTTCTTCTATCAAAGCCGTCTGCATGATTGTGTGCGTGTTGGCTTGTTTTGTCCAGTGTGCAGTGACAAAGAAACATGTGCATGTACCTGGTTATTTTATTCAATAACTGTTCAGCTAATAAAGCATATTAGCTTTGTAGCATTAACTGGGCACATTTGAGTAAATTAGATCTGCTGGAATGATGTTGTTGGTTCATTCATTCTTCCTTTTTCTCCCACAGGACGTTTTTCTAGTCTCATCAACCACTTGCCAAGAAAACCAGTCTGAACATGAAGAAGTTTCACGTTAATCTACATGCAAAGAAGCAGCTTTTGTGGCTCTTTGAGATTGACCTAGTGGCCATGTTGATTCATGCAATCCATGTTGATTGTGTCTGTCTTGTTTTGTCAGTGGATTGTCCCGTCAATATCACGCTCTGTCCTGTAGTCCTCATCAGGTCCACCTCATTTACACTGACGGTCCTTCTAATCTTCTTGTAAATGTCCATCAGTATATGAATAAAGGATGGGTTCAAACAGGCAAACTAATCGATACTACACCTCTTATCTGCCTTAACAAAGCCCAATAAAAGACTCATCTGGTTATAGATTAACTTCTGTTTTGGATACTGATTTTCTGCTACATTATTTTTTACAGGTGTGTGACGCTTATTGGTTTTAAAAGCAAGTTTATATGTGGATTTTATTGACTTCTGTTACATACAGTAAAATTTAAAGATTTCTGTCAACATTAACATCTGATCCATCATCATTTTTTAGAAATCACTCAATCTGTCGACATATTAACTGCATTCTGAATTGCTACTCTAATGCTGTGGGATTTCTTCCAAAGTCACAACTTAAGCATTTATGTTAGTTTCAAACAGACTCTCTTGTTCATTTTAAAGGAGCTTGAGATGATCTGTTTGATCTCACTGTGCCTCTTCCCTTTCCATTGTGTCTGCATTGATTTATTTCAGCCAGGGGAAGACACAGTTGTGCTATCATGTGTCCACAGGGGGCAACAGTGGTCCATATTGAATAGTGAGAGCATGAAAGAATGTGCTCAGAATTCTGCTTTAGGGTCAAGCTTTGTGTAAAGAAATGGGTCAGAATACGATTAGTGGATGAGTTTATTTGGGTTACAGACACTTTGTTTTGGGAATAAAAAAACGAATTCAAAAGGGAGGAAGCGCGTACGTGGGGCTTAGCATGTATTGGATCATGTGTGTGTGGGTTTTGTGGACAGCATCACACTTCACTCTTATATAACCGTTGTTTGCAGTCCTTCTCTCCCGGTTCATGGATGTGGTTGTGTGTTTGGGTTTGTGACCTCCAGCTACGGTTCATGACAGTGTCCATAGAGTCCAGGGGTGGCCTTCTAAGATCTTCCACTCCCCTCTTTCTCTTCCTCCTCCTCCTCCCCCTCCACCTCCCCGCCTCCTCCCTGGTACCCGGGTTCAGCACCGTGGCCAGCTCTCAGCCTCCGTGCGTAAACCGCCGTCTTTGGTCGTGTGGTTCAACCAAAGTAGGACAGCGAGAGGTCAGGCGCCCGCCGAACACATGAGAGACTGCAAACCGGGACATTTGTTGGCTTTTCTCTTTTTTTATCATCCAATCGACGAATGTGACGGAACCGCAGGGTGTTTGTGAAGTCAAAGGAAAAACGAGGCTGACACGATGATCTCTCGATACAAACCGGTAAGTGCTGGAAGACGCGTCACCTGGCCACTCACTTTGAGCCCCACTCCCTTTGTTGGTGTCTGCTCTGCTCGTTCAGTGTGGTTTCCCAGCCCAACACCACACAGCGCCCGCGTCTCATCCACTATGGGACACGGATCAGCTTATTTAATTGCATAGCCCATGTCACGGTAGAGATGAGAAGTCAAGCCGTTTTTAATGCGCGCCCGCAAGTCATTTGAACTCGTTTGGACACAACGGAGCCTTGTGTGTATTCTGCTATGGGACCATTCATCACTGGGGTTGAGGAGATGGATTACGAGGGTGTGAAACACCGGCTACAGACTGGTAGTCTGAGAAATGTCCAAAGCAAATGGAAAGCATTTTAGGACGTGTTAACGCCTCCTTCTATCCAGGTCCATTCCCGTGCCACTCAGCAACGAATGATTAATACCTCACCTCTTACCCTCATCTTACTCCCCCTACGCAACATTATCACATTACAGTATCCAGCTGGCACACTCAGACGCTCGTTCATGCCATTTATTTGTGGTTGGAGCTGCTGGTAGAATGTATTGCTCTATTATGTGCCTCTCAGTATGGGCTACCACATAATCAGAATGCATAACATCTGTGGACACCACATTTAATTCCTCCTTAGGCCATTCATTGATGAGCTGTGGTCCTCTCAGGGATAATAATGCAGTCACTGCTTGATAAAAAAAATCTTTACCTGAAGGATTGATTCTGGCAGTTTATATTCCCACAGAGCAAATGGGTCAAATGGTGTATGGCGAACAACCAGGGGATAAGATTTGAATTTAAAGCTCTGTCACTGAGAAGAAAAGCCATTATTTTCTCTCTTTTACCTTCGCTCTTGTTTCTTGATGCTCATCTTCCCATCCCATGAATTGGTAACTTTTGAGTAAAGGGTTGTGTTTGCTTGTTTTCCCAAGCAAACAAGTTATCCTTAAGAATAGACATTTTAATTCATTTTCTCCCCATTTTTTAGATAAATGGTCAACTGGAACACATCCATTGAGACAACAACCGTGTGTACATGTATTGATAACACAAACATGTTGTTTTGATTGTGTCTCAAAATTTGGCATCCCATAAAGATACATTTTCTTTCTTTTTTCATATCTTTCTGTAGTCTTTTAACCTCCTTGAACCCATGCTGAATAATTCAGGAGAGGAAGTGAACATGGGACTGCAGCTGCTGTCAGTATAGTTTCTGTGCTGTTGAAACGAAAGACCATCAAGACTACAGTTTAGACATACACTTCTTTCTAAATTACTGTCAACTTAACAAAATAAGCGTCTTGTGACACATACCTAAAATGAGAACAAGTTAATGATGTCCGGTCCTATTAAGAGTAATTTATGTGCAGTTAAAAGCCACGGCTTTCGTTTGCACATAGACTTGATCGTCTTTATTAAAGACATGGAGCTCAGTTGTCCCCAGGGTCTTATTCTCCATGCATGAATGAATTTAATTTCAGTAGTATAAAAACTAAATACAACATGCAATAGTTTATTGGATATTTGCAACAATGACATCTTCCTTTATTCCCTCTTAAGACCAGTGAAGTTAGCCAGTTCTACTCTCTTCTATCATGACTATCTTTGTTTAGACAGATATATTTACATTTGAGACTCTGAATGGTGCTGGAATTTGGAGGCCAATAGGAATTATTGGGCAGTACAAACTGTAAGCAATGTATTGTTTATCATATTTGATAATATGATAATCTAATTCAAATGAAAGTAACACGAGTTTTCATTGACTGTGCAGCATTTAGCTCGCTCTGTGGCACCATATCTCACAAACTTGTCAGTAACACAACATGCTGCCATCGCGTGACTTTACATCACTGTCACCTCAGCTGTGCTGAGAGCTTCATAAACCAGTGAGTATGAGCTTCCACCAAAACATAGTTTGTCAGTTTGTCTTTGACATCAAAGCATAAGTCTGTAGATTCAGCAGTGTGGCACTGTTTGCTTTTCTTTCCCTGTCTTCAATAAAAAAATGCTCTGTAATGAAAAAGAAATCTACCAATCACGAGCTTAGGTAGGGAACCTGTCAATGCTCTCCTGAAAAGAATGTGTGCCTTGAAGCTGCTTCAGAGTAATTTTTGAAACAATCGAGAATTCAAACACGCATTCAGAAACATCTGCTGAGTTTTCAATTATTCAATGGAAATAGACCTGCATGTCTTTTGATTGGTTGCCGTCAGCAGTGGAAGTATCTCAGCCCCATGCTGCTCTAGCTCCACATTTATTTGGGAAGCAGCTCTCAGGGGTTGCAATTCTTCACATGCGGCAATTTGACTGTGTTGCACCACAGCTGCCGTCCACACGTTTCCCAGAGAGCGATGGCCCTCATGTCGAGCTCATCTGCTCTCTGCGATCGGGCAACTGTGCATATGGAATGTTTTAATCATGACTTATTTTAGCTGCCCTGGAAAGCTCACCATGCCGTCCCTCATGCTGACAGATGGGTGTTCTGAATCTGTCTGTCTGTAGTCCCTTACTCATCCCTGCATAAGTCAGTTGCTACCTGATGTAGGAATACTAAAATACTCCAAACCCTTCATCATGAATGCAACGCACACAAATAAGCACCCAGGTATGACGCTGACAGGTGACTGATTGGTGCTACAATGAAACTCCTGTAATTGACCCACGTTCTGAGAGCTTACTCATGCTTCTCACGTACCTCAGTGTGACGTTGATCCCCCCCGCATCCTGCTCTTTCTTCCCCCCCCCTCTCTCTCTCTCTCTGCTAATCATTCAGGCTCTCTCTCTCTGCTCTCACCCTTTACCTTTCCTGGCTCCGGTGCTCATTCCTCCAGGTCCACAGACGGCTCTGCCCCCCCTCTGCTCTCATCTTCCAAGGTCGACTTTGAGCTCTTAGTTGCGAAGAGAGACAGGAATAGCAGGCGCGCGGCAGAATGCGGCTACTGCTTTATCTGTCTGCATGTTTGTGTGCATGAGCGATGTGTTGCCGGTCTGAATTTATTCGGCGTGGTGCCGTGCACGAGTGAAGCTTCAGCCTCAGAGGATGCCTGCTGACTGCGGCCAATCGGGATGCAGATGTTTCTCACCAGCGCGGGGAAAGCGGCTTAGACCATCAGAGAGGAGAGAGAGCTGCCGCTGCACCGGGCTCTAACTACATCTGACCCTTTCCTCCCCCCCCCCGTCTCTCCCTCTGTCTCCTCTCCGTCACCGGAGCTGATATTTGGAAGCTGGATTAAAGAGGAAGGAGGTCACTTTGGGAAATGCTGAGGATGGACTGAGGAGACAGCCTGCATTGACTAAACAGACAACATGATCTGAGAAAAGCCACCTTTTAAATCTGCCTCTCTCTCCTCTGTCTCTGGGCCTCCCCTCCTCCTTTCGTCCTCCTTTTCCTCGGCCGGTTCCCTGCAGAGTCCCGGCTCCACCATGTCCTTGGCTTTCTGTGGGAACGAGAACAACTCGTCAGCCTACAATGTGGACGGGGGCGTTCTGAACAACGGCTGTTTCCTGGACGCCCTCAACGTGGTCCCACATGTTTTTCTCCTCTTCATCACCTTTCCCATCCTCTTCATTGGTGAGTCCTGCTGGGAGGTGAGATCCTCCACCACAGCGCACCACCCCGCACAGTTCACACATGCTGTGTCAGCACATGTCTGTTCTCTAGCTGCCCTTGCAAATTCCTCCCCACAAACTTTGGCTGATATACCTGTGGTTTAATTTCCCTTTTAAATGGTGTAGAATTCCATAAATTTGGCTTACATTTAATTTCCTGAATTAAAGTGCAGATGTGATCATTCATGGAAAAATGTGCATTTTGAGGGTTTTAACACTGGGACTCAACAGACTTGAAAGTCTGTGAGAAAATGTGTCACCTCTGATGATGTGCTCCATTATACACAGAGGTAAACCATGCAGGTGATTTATGAGTCAGCCAAAGTGTGCCACTGGGCATGAAACCAAGGGCCAAATTACTTGGGGTTAAAGAAGTGGACACTTCTTTGGATAAAAGGTGCATTTCATGAGTCATATATGAAATGGCTCAGCATGACTGACGCACCGCAAGTTTTTCTTGCATTGTTATTATTAACATTGTAATTTTTCATGCCGGTGAATGCTGTTGCAGTTTTCACTACCTAGTAATGGTGGACAGGTTCTATCCCCGTGCTCGAGAAATGGGGCTGCGTAAGAAAAAGATCATTTGCTCCATTGAGGACACCAAAGAGAGGATATTACCTACAATATTTATACGAACTGACAGTGCTTTTTTCTTCCATCAATTCTGTCTTTAAAAGTAATTTAAAAAGGATTCTATTTTTTTCTTGTCTTGGCAATATTAGATTTTATATATTTATGTCCATTCCTATCATATCATTCTGAATGACATCAACCTTTCGGGAGATTTCTTATTGTTGCCTTAGCCTCCAGTTTAGGGATATTGACACTGACATTTATTTGTGATAGATGAAGTTTGTTTTCAATCTTTGTTACTTTTATGTAAAGACACTGTTCAAATATTCTGAAAATGTTTTGGAATATTGACTCCCAATATGTTTTTTCTTCACATTAATTAAAAAATAGATAAAACGCATTAATCTCTGACCACTGGACAGAAACAACGACACAAGGTCTATGCCACAGAGATTTATTTATGTAGCTGTAAGCTGTAGAAATCCTCTTTAGCCCCTGTCATCCCGGGTTGATGTACTTTCACTCTCAACTTTGGCACTAAATGCAAACCTCAGGGGATGCGGGATCACTTATGTTCATCTGACAGTGCCTTTTAAGCCAGAGTCCTGTTTATATACTGAATGCAGCACTCAGTTGTGCCCTGCGGTGATGAAATGTGTTACTCAGCTGGTGGTCAGCAGTTCAGAGTTGCACCAAAGCCCCAAACATGGAAACACACTTCAAACCACACATGAATGAGAAACAAGGATGTGCCGACACACTCAGGTGAGACTGTTCACATTACAGCCGCTGTCAGAGAGGAAGAGTTTTCTGTCATCCCCTCTTTCTAAACAGTCAGGCAACAAAACTGAGTTCTGACTGAGTTACTCCAACTGGCCAAAGCAGATTAATTTCACCGGCCATTAATTACAAACCAAGCTGGTATATGTTTTATTTTACACGTTTTGTCTGCTTTGTATACAGATACTGTACATCACAATACACACATTTTTAAGGGGCTCGTGCACATTTGTTGTGTATTGTACTTCACATCATGGTGAATGTTGTTCGAGCTGGTGTGAAAACGAGGTGAAGAGGAGGATATGATGTAGTTGTCAGCCTGTAACGGCACATCTAAGTGACATTAACTGTGAAAGGTGCCAAAGGCAGGAGAGTTTCTTACATAACTTCATTTGGACAGATTTACTTTGACAACAGAGGAAAAAATTGATGATATAAATCCCACTTTGATGATTCAGTCATTGTTACATCATAGCCTCTACTGAGGCCGATATCTGTCTGAGTTAAATGATAAAGGACAACAAAGTCCCAGCCAAGGGGAGGGGGTAAAAAAATGTTTTAGCTGGCAGCCATCCTCCTGCCAAGAACCATGAAATGTAATTAGAGTGCTACTAAAACAGCCGTGCTGAACTCCGAGACCGACCTTGGCAGGCTGCCATCTTTGTAGTTCATCTTCTGCAAATGATCCAGTCTGCTCCGCACACTAAATCGTTTTGTCGTGGAGCACTTCAACGATGCTCAAAAGGTTGTTTTTCAAAATGTCGATTTAACTGCAAGTCTCAAGATAAAGACCTTTTGTCTAACTCTGTCAGAAAGCTGTTGCCTCTGTGCATACGCTTTGATAACAGTCTCATGAGTGTGTGCAAAGTGAAAGCATCCATCATGTATTTTTCTGTTCTATTATTTGAGGCTGGGGCAGCCAGAGCTCAAAGGTCCACATCCACCACAGCACCTGGCTTCACTTTCCCGGACACAACCTACGGTGGCTCCTCACCTTCGTCCTCCTCTTCATCCTCGTCTGTGAGATTGCTGAAGGCATCGTCTCTGATGGGTATGTTTCAAACCACTGATATCACCCCTGAAGTCTGTGTGCGTGTGACTCACATTTAAAGGTTTTTTGTAGATCAATTTCACAGTGAAAAGTCTTGAGACAGCGTTTAACTGGAAAAATGGGGCTTAAAGAAAAGTTAGAGACTGGCAGCATGCACAGTGAATCCAAAGCAAACCACATTTGGTGAAATGTCTCTTGTAGAGGGTCATTTTTGCGCATGTGCAGAGAGATAGATGCTTCAGCAGTCATCTAGTGGAGGAGTATAATATATACCATATCTGGTCTATCTTATTTTGCGGGCCTTGTAATTAAATTTTATCTGTGATTCCTCTTGATTGTTGCGTGTCAGCGGTCCCTCTCCCTGACTTTATCATCTAATCAAACACTGTCATCCACCTCTCATGAAGGGAGGATCCGATTAACTACAATGTGGTTCCCTAATAACTACTAATCATCAGTTTCAATGTCCTTCTCAAACGTACTCCACAGTACTCTCTCACAGGGTAGTTATTACCAAAATTGACCTGATTTGGATTTTTGGATAAACATACATGGAGTGGATCTTATTCAGACCCCGTTGCAAAGCCAGACTGGCTTTTCTGTCATGTTATCTGTTATCATTTTACCTTTTCTTTAAGATAGTCTAAAATTTATTGTTATTTGTGGCTTACGCCCAAGAGGTTGCGTTTATAGATGATTTATATCTTATAACTGTTCTTATTGGGAATTTTTTATACGCTTTAGTAGATGGGCTGTGTTTTTCTGGCTATGAAAAACATCTCAAAATAGATAACCTAAATAAAAATAGGTGGTTGCTGATGAATTTGGAGTAATTCTATTGCTGGACAAATTCCTCTTTTTATTTCTGTTTATCCACATCAGCAATCACCTTTGAAGATATGGATCAATCAAAGTTTAGAGATGATATCAATTTTGCAAGAATAAATCACACTGTCACAATCATTTAATGGCAAAAGGGACAAAGTAATCCAGTTTTACGTGCAACCGTGTAGCAGAAGGGCAGCACTTTACAAGAATGAACACAATGCTGTATTAGGTAACACTTTGAATTAGTGTTGGAAAACAAAATCCATCCATTCCTTCTCTATACAGCTTAATCCAGGTCAGGGTCGAAGGGATCTGGAGGTTGTCCCAGCTGTGGAAACTACAATCTCATTTTTAAATGCTTAGGGCCAGTAAAACAAGTTGATTGGTTTAGTCATAAACATTTATTTATTCAGACTTTCAGAAAACCGACTGCAGACACTCGTTTCCCTTGCTGGCAGTTAAAAAAAGCAGACATAAGCTATGACTTCTTGGCTCTCCTTTCAAGACTTGAAGGATACATCTAATTAAAGTAGAGTACTATTCATGTTTCCTTCTAAACACTAAGGGAACATACACACCATTTATCATTGTGTGTTTTTTGCTGTGTGAGTTTTTGCATTGTTGGGACTCTGGCAGTTTTTCCTCAATAAAACTGATTTAATCTAAGATAGCTTGCAAGAGATGTTTTGGGAAAAATATAAAAAGAAAAAACAAGACAGAAATGTAAACATTTCAATAAATTAATTTGTCCAAAGTTTAAAAATTCAGTGTTTTAAATGGTGTGACGATAACGATTCCTCTAACAGCTATTCTCAGCCATTGTTAATGTGACATGGAATGCCTGAATGGCCCTTAACATGTCATTTGTGATGAGCAAACCTAAGCATGCTTTAATGCTAGTTCTAACTGTGCGCAAATAAAAGTGCAGAAAAGCCTTGTGCAATGAGCTGGACCGAAGTGGAAGAGCACAGTATCTGCACAGGACCAGTTCTGAACCAATAATCCCACGGTTTAGCTGCTCCAACGTCATCAAATGACAGCATGGAAAATTATGACGCTGATTTGCCAGGAAAGACAGCTGACATGCCATTAAAGTGATACTTAAGCTGCATCTCTATGGGAAAAGAGGGCCAGATATGGTAGTTGTTCGATTTCTGAGCTTTTAAAATTAAACTGCAGTGCTGTGGGTTTTGTAGCAGTGGAGGCATGTCATGCTCTTTTGGACTGTTTCCCATCCAGAAATGTTGTAAAATGTTTCAGAGTAGTAAGATAATGAAAAAAAACTTGTAGATATTTGTTAGAAACGCAGACAAAATCATGTTGTCTTTTTGTACCTTCTTACCATGCTGATGGCAAGATGGAATAGTTGCTCCGATAAATCTTATGCTGTAATGACATGACAGTTAAAGAAAGATTACCCTTGAAACAGAAAAGAGAGGCATTATAAGCAGGAATTCAACATGTTTTTGGTTTTATAGAAAACCAACTTAGATTTCTAACAGACTCCCTAGGCAAAGCTGGATTGTTTATTATTTCCTGTCTGATAGCCGTCTGGTTGTCCAGCAGCTCCACCATCAGCCAGCTCAATACAAACAAAGCGATCACATGCCAAGTATCAGTGTTTGTGCCCCAATTTCCACAGTTGCCAAATAAAACAAGTCAATAAACGGCAGTGTCTACTCTGCTGAGACCAGAATTTAGAACGATCCAACTGTAGAAAAACCCAAAGGAAGCTTAGTTTACAACGTACGGCCACAGCTTCAGTTTGACATTTTATTTGACAGTTTGACAAGTCATGCACAGTCTCACAATGTATTTGCTGGATGGATGTGTTTTCTCTTAATACACCCCTCATTTGGACCTTTCTGGGTCTCTGTCGTTCCTCTTCTGTCAGCCCATGTGTTCTTGAGTTTTTCCTGCAGTCTAAGGGGCCTCTGGTATAAACTTTAACACTATTACACATGATTGTCAACCATTCTCTGTTTACTCAAACCTGATTTTTTCTGATTTCATTTTCAGGTTCAGCCAATCGCTCCACCTTCATTTGTACATGCCTGCGGCTCTGGCTTTCATGGCTGGCATCACTTCGATTGTCTACTATCATAACATTGAAACCTCCAATTTTCCAAAACTGCTATTAGGTATGGTAATCTTAAATCCTTCAAATGTTTATTTTCTGTGGACCAACGCTGGTCCTTGAACTGTCCAGGTATTTTTAGGTAGGTCTTTGGACATATCATGTCAGAGAAGTAATGGGTATTGTGTTGAAGTTGCTTTGTTTATAAATCATCAGGGTTTGCGAGGCTTGGATAAACCAAATTATGTGACATGTTACTGAGCCCTGTTCAGCCATGTACTCATGGATGCTTAATTTATTTAGATAAGTCTTAACAAAACTGAGGGTGAATCAATCAAACATTGCTCTGCTCTTAGCATATTTTAATATAGGATGTATTATTTTCAGAATAAATAATGAGCTCTTTCCATTTTGCATGTTGAATACATTTTCTTTTGAAATAATGTTCACATTCATCTGCCTGTTAATGAATTTGATGTCAACACATTTCCTTTGTTGGTTTTAAGTCATTTTGCAGATCCTCATAGAACAACCATTCCGTTACTTTTCCTCTGCCGCTGGTGAACACTGTGTGAGCTCTCTGCTCAGTCGGAGTCTGTCCTATGATCTTTTTTTCCCATTACCCAGCAGCATAGCTAATAGAAATCATCCTTCTTTTGTCTTTACTCTCACCATTAGCTTTTCACTGTTTACAATAGAGCTGTTGGAATATCATTATGTGGCATTATCAAAGTAGTCAGGACACAAAGGCAACACTCTTATCTGCCGGATTAAACACCTTGACCCTTATAGCTGCTAGAATAACTCTGCTGTAGCTTTTTTTGTTTGCACAAAGAGGGCAGATAAATGAAAGAAAAGAGGTGGGAGAGAGGGGAGACATAGTACACATTCAAGCTTATTTCTCAAAGGTTCTCAGTAGAAAGCTGTGTAAGCTGTGTAACATCCAAATGGAAAATAAATGATAAGCAAAGATATTGTACAATCAGTTGGGTGATGGCTAGCTGGGCTATGAAATGTGAAAAAGACACTTTAGAATATCTATGTAGAATTTATTTTTTTATTAAATTAGTGACAACATGACGACTTCCATTTGAGACGATTATGGTTGTGTTTTTCCGCCCGGTTGGTAATTTGCTCTGTGACTCTGATCCCCTCAGCCCTGCTGATCTACTGGGTGCTGGCCTTCATCATGAAAACCATCAAGTTTGCCAAGTACACCGAACATGGCATCGGCCCCAGGCAGCTTCGTTACTGCATCACAGGGTTGCTGGTGCTGCTGTACGGACTTCTACTGGCTGTAGAGATCAACGTTATCCTGGGCAGGGTGAGTGGGTGGCTTGTTTTAGCTGAGATGGAGACACTGACAGCTCTAAGTGAATGATCATTTCAGCACGCTGTGATGCTGCCTGATAATGTATGAGGTGAGTGTGTGTTGGTGCGTTTGGTACTCATTGGTGCCACTGCTGTCATTTGAATCCTTAAATGCAGTTTCTGTTTTTAGATACTTTGATAAAGGAGAGAAAATTTAAATCTGCAGTCCTTTTAGGCTTCTTACAAGCCTTTGAACACAGAGACTGAAATGTCTTTAACAGGCAGGTGAGGATTATGTTAAAATACACATTTTAAAAACAGTGCCACTCGTTTACTGGAAGTGTTGAAATAAAATAAAAAACTATCTTGGCTAAAGCAACTCAAATCCATTGAGAGGCAGCATGAACCCTGGAATCGGTCACCAGTTCATCCATAACAGCTGGACTGGAATTCTGAATGCAAAAACTCGAAGCTTAAAACATGAAGACAAAGTTTCATGGCTATAGAAGCCAGAAATAGAAGCCAAATGCCAACCATTGGCTAATATTTACAGACCAAAATGTGACTGAAATATTTGTCAGGAGCATTTGTAAAAGTCCCCATGCCTCAGTTCGAAATGTATTCATTTTTTGACATTTACAGCCATTAAACCCTTGCTGAGCAAGAGGCACAGAATGCCAAAGCTGTGTACATTTTTTTATATATTTTTTTATATTTTTCCTCTGGACAGCTTAAACCGTGTTTTTCCATGTTAACCCCTGCACTGAGAGCACATCTGTTTGGGCAGCAGCATCCAAGGTGATGTCCCATCATGCCCTGCACTCGGCCTATTCAAACCATCTGTTGCAGTAATTGTAGTGACATAAGGATTTTCATTGTTGAGCAATTATCTAAATTGAACATCCCTTAAATGATTAAATGTTTGCATCGCATTATCAGCAATCCACTCTGGGCTTTGGCCTGATTGGCTACTACTTTATCTGTCCTTCATCGTTTAATTCAAAACTCAGTATTACTGCTGAATATTAATGCTATATCTATATGTTCATGCTATGCTATATATAACCCCTTAATAAATAAATTCATACGTGGATTTGGGGAATGTGCAGTGTGTGCGGTCATTTGGGATATTGGGATATATACACATCTTTTTAGTTCACTCATTCAGCACTGTTAACTGTTCTTTATTCTGAAGCTTTAGTCTATTGTTGGCTTTTTATAAACCAATTATATCAATTATTTGCCAAGTTGCCATAGTGATAAAAGATATCTTGAAATCAAATGCAAATTGAAGACAAATTATCTTTCAGCGGCTGCAATTAAGCCCAGTAATAATAGTGTGTTCATCTGGCACATCCATTAAGTTAAAGCCCTCTTTGGAAGATACTAAAATCACAGTTATTACCCACAAAGAAAAGTGAAGTGAAGTTTCTTTTTTGTTGGCTCTATAATTTAAGACATTGCGCATTTTTTTCTCTGAGTGTGTTTTCATTTGACTATTTGAGGCTGAACAGCGATCTGGCTCTTGTCTTTGCCACAGCGCTACATGTGTTTCGCCAATCCCAGAGAGGTGAAGCCTCCTGAAGACCTTCAAGACCTCGGTGTTCGTTTCCTGCAGCCGTTTGTCAACTTGTTGTCCAAAGCCACCTACTGGTGGATGAACACCTTCATTACCTCCGCTCACAAGCGGCCGATTGACCTAAAGGTTATCGGCAAATTGCCCATCGCAATGAGAGCACTAACCAACTACATGAAGCTTCGCAAGGAATTTGAAGACCAGAAGGTGAGTATTAGCTTTTGAATCTTTGTGAATGGTACAGGGCTGCTGGGACTGGCAAGCACTTGAGTCATCCTAACACACATACTTTGATATAAAAAAGTAAACAATGCATGTCATCCATTCTGTGGCTGCTATGTTTGTAAAGTTGCCTCGGAGTTCAGATCTTTACAAAGATTGCCTTTGTTTTTTGGACTAAATCAGAAATATATTATGTGCTGTCTATAGTTTCCCACACTTCTGCAACTTATCCAGTCCTCCATGGTTATTTTACAGAGCATCCTCTGCCAGTCAATATTACCAAGAACAGTAAAACTGCTGCTCTTTTTCAATCAAATTACCAGGGATCTGTCCAGATCTTCCACTTAGAGACACAAATAAAGGTTTATACATTTATGTTCTCAGTGTGCAGCTTGTTTGGTTCCCAGTCGCCACTACTTTGCTTTCTTATATCCGTTCAGTTAGTTTATTACAGTAAATCTTGTGTTTTGGACGTCTGTATTCAATATCTTAGCTGTGATGAGTCTATCAAGCAATTAAGTGACCTGAAAATCCTGAAAATCTACATTTTCAATGATACTCTTTTCCCTGATTTGATGTTCTCACACAAAAGCACATCATGCGATAATTCAGCTTTGGCTAAAGTGGGACAGTTAAACTTTATTTGGACGTGACACAGCGGATTCCTCATTCGTGTAAACAGGAAAGTATCTCACGGCCAAAGGCAATGAGATACTTACTTTCTCTTTCGGCACTACTTAGTTCTGTTTTTAGGTGTTAATCAAACCTTGGAGAAAGATGGTTCTGGTTTGGTTTTAGTGGACTGAATTGGGCAGCTACGTTGGAAATATCTGCAATATTCTTCTCATCTATGTTTGACACTGCTTTGGGAATAAACTGAACTGCTCCGACCAACAGAATTGTTTAACAGGAGAAGATAGGAAAAAGTGTTCCCTTATTCCACCCGTTTTGTGTAGCTTTTTGCAATTGGATGTTTCATATTCTTCACAGCTACAGCTCTCTGTTATGTGTATATACTGGAGCAGAAAAAAGACGAAAATCAGTGAAAGTCTTTTCAGAATTTCAAATCCTCTTAAGCTAATATGAGCTTCATCCTCTTCTATCAAAGTGTAATTGTTTGTAATGGTGGAGATGGAACTACAGCATTTGGCTTGGAATTAAAGAGCTTTCTAAACTGTTTTTCTCGTTGTCTCACTCTGAGCCAGTGGTCTTCCGGTTTTGCTAATGCAGGAGCAAAGTGAGGACGTTTCCTCAATCTATGTTGTTCTTCACGTCCTCCTCTTTGTGTCTCCCTTCATCTCGCTGTTGAAGCACGTGTCAGGGTTCAGAGGTAAAGGGCCTCCTCTGCAGGGTCGTTGTTTTCCAGTGTTTGGAAGGTCACCCGAGATTCGTCATTGCTGTGCGTCCGGTGTGAACGCAACCCTGCTTCCTTCCGGCAGGAGTGGGGAAAGAGAGAGGCTGGGGGATCCCAGTGGAGCCGTGAGGAAGGGCGGCGGCGGCGGTGGCGGGGCGTTCAGGGGGGCTGGAGGCGTGGGGTCGATCTCGTTCTACTGTGAACGAGGTGACATCCCGACCTCTGCGGGGGTGAAAGCACTGCACTTCATGGGAAGCGATTTTTTTACTCCGTGTGTGAGAATGAAACGACCGCCGCTCCAGTTGTTTGAACCTGAGGTAGAAAGAGAGGATCTGTGTCCATGTGCGTAAGTGTGTTGCGCACAAGACATCAGTCACGTCTGCTTTTGCAGTTCAGGGAGTTCCTCGGTTTCGCTCACATGGACGCACAGACACCCACACAAACACACGCTTGAACTGTTGTGGGACTGTTTACATCACCGTGATGGACCAGATGTTCCCCCTCCAATCATTGCTAAGTGTCTCACTGGTCTAGGCCATCAGTGTTGGAAATTTTCAAAGACCTCAAAGTGATTTTTAATGCCTGGAAACATTCTGTCGTTTGAAAAAAAAAAAAAATCTGAATCCGACCGAACAAGCTGTTCCTCACCGCATCGCCAATGTGGTGACTGGTTAGACAGCACAAGTATACAGCTTGTGATGGACTGAGCGGCAGTGTGAAACTCCCCATTAATCAGCACAGCCTCTGATGCAGCAGCAGCAGGATGGGAGGAGGATAGGAGGAAAATGGGAGCCATGAGCCTGGCCTCCTTTCAAAGGTTTCTGCTGTAGCGGTGAAGAAACTTTTCAGCTAATAGTGTTGATTCAGCTTTTATCTCCAGGCAATTAGGTCCTTTTGCCCTTTTAGCTTTCACTGACTGTCAAACCTTGCTGCTTTGCTACCAACTCCTGAGAGAAATAGTTTACTCCACACAAAGTCATAATTGTGCACTCGACTCCAATCTTCTGCAGAGACTGTCATTACACTAATGAAGCAATGTGTCATTGACAGATGGTGATTAATGTTTGCATTCTAGAGATGAAAGGAGCCTAAAACTTTACCAACCTGGGGCAGATGAGCTGGTTTCTGCATCTGATTTTAATGAGTTTTTCATCAATGCATTTAGCGCGCTGACAATGTCCCTTTCCTATTAATCTTCCCTATTTTTAGAGTCCTCAGGGCACAGCACCCCAAGGTCCAAAGTGGATCTGGTTGGCCTTGAGAAAAGCATTTGGAAGACCCCTCATCCTCAGCATCACCTTCCGCTTCCTGGCTGATCTGGTTGGCTTTGTTGGACCGCTCTGCATCTCTGGCATCGTGTACCATATCAGCAAAGACAATCGTACCATTCACCAACCGGTGAGGGGATGCCGTGCGCGTACTAGCATGAAATAAAACGAGAGAAAGGATCTCAGTCAATCAAGTTATCACAATTCAAAATGACCTTGTTGGAATCAATCCACAAGGATCAGACAGGCGCACGTGCTGTACGTGCCTGAACATAAAGAAAACGGGGCTTTGAAACATCATGAAATCATGAAAAACTTGTGAATTTAAATAATATTTTGATCAAGGCAGGGTCAGCTTGGAAAGGAAAAGAAAAACGGCCTCCTTTATAAGAGTGTGAATAGTGTTGACAACGGCCTGCTGTAAGAAAATGAGCACATATATCTAAGTCCAAAAAAAACAAGAGAGCTAATGATTCATGGAAGAGTTGATGTGAGCTTGAGTCCCATTTACAATCAATAGTTTGTAATTCCTCATTCATGAATAATCTCTGCCAACAATGAATTAATTAAGCATCGGGGGGAATACTTTGCTCTGACTGAATTGCATTGCACCTGCATGGCAGCTGTGCCGACCACACTTCATTTCACATTAATTAAGTTTCCCACAAATATTGAATTCTGCTCTTAAATTAATTTCATGCATTTGTAATGAATGCTGGTTTCCTCTGCTTTTTGAAGTTGCGAGCAAGAGAAATGTCTGTTGAAATGAACAGAAGCTCTTCAGCTCAAATCCCATCCTGAGGGTTTCATTGTGTTTTACTGGCCTTCAGGTTGCTGCCTGACTAACAATGACAAATCACTTCCTCTGCCTGCCTGTCTGTGCCTCCAGATGAAGCTGCTCGGTATCTATTTCATTTCCTCCAAAGAGTTCCTGGAGAATGCGTATGTGCTGGCCGTGCTGCTCTTCTTCTCCCTGCTCCTGCAGAGGACCTTCCTCCAGGCATCCTACTACGTGGCCATTGAAACAGGCATCAACCTGCGTGGGGCCATACAGGTGTGATGTGTGTTACTGACGTGTGACTCTGCATGAACACAGTCAGACCATTTTCTGTTGGAAAATAAACCTGAGGGGTTGAAAGTCAATATATACCTTTTTCCCAGTAAAAGAAATTAAATAAAACTGTTACAATATAAATATTTTTTAGAGGTAAAGCCTTTAAGTTTTATTGAAAATCAGGGCCTAATGCTTGTCATGTTTTTTGTGCAGTAAAAACATTTGTTATTTCAAGCTTGAAAAGTACAAATTAATTTATCAGTTGGGTCTGAATTGAATATAAATTAACCGTCTGGTCCATTTTGCTGTGAATTATTAATATTCCTCAAAAACAAACTAAATCTGTCCCTTACATTGATAATTGGTCTTTTCTGCCATCTTCATTTTTTTATCATTTACCAGTTGTTCTGGCTTTTCCCCTTTTCTTTTCTCAAGACAAAAATCTACAACAAGATCATGCGTCTGTGCACGTCCAACATGTCCATGGGAGAGCTGACCGTCGCACAGATCTGCAACCTGGTTGCCATAGACACCAACCAGCTCATGTGGTTCTTTTTCCTCTGTCCAAACCTGTGGGCCATGCCAGTACAGGTGAGAAACAAATGATCCACAGGCAGCAGCGCGACTTCTGGAGACGTTTGCGTTAACGTCACACACCTGGTTCAGCTGACACCTGAGTCTGTCTAGCTGCTGCCTCTGAGGTGATTCAAGTTGAATTTTCAGCATGGCCTGGGGGCTTTCTGGTAGAAGGTTATATGTATGGTTGTGCATCTCCGTGTGGCCCTGTGTTGCACGGTGGCCTGTCCAGGGTGTACCCCACCCCTCGCCCATAGACTACTGGGAAAGTCTCCAGTCCCCCCACGACCCCTTTTGGGAATAAGCGGTTACGAAAATGGATGGATGGATAGAGGTTTTAGGCATACACAACACATTTATTGCACCAAAATTTGCCTGACTTATCCAAAATATGAATGATCTTTCCTAAAAAATGCTTTATATTGGTATTGTTCTTTGATTCTAAGCCAGCTGTGTCACAGAAGGTGGGATTAAGTGTGAATAATTGCTGTCGTTTGGCTCTGTGACTGGTAATTCAGTGCTGCTGTGTAACCTGTGAATGTCCTAATGAGTTGAAATGTATCCAGAATTTGTGCAAAATTTTAGAGCAGTAGCCATTTTAACCATTAGTGGCAGCATAGGCCTTTGACATTGTAACTTCACAATGAATGATTCACGGGCACAATTGGTTTAAGCAAGGTATTGTTTTTGTCATGGATTTTTTAAAATGATGTTTTAGTGCGTTTTTGCATTGTTCATCGGTTTGCTGGAATGTTGTCATTACCTCTCAGTGTGTTTGACTGCCCTGTGCTTTGTTTAGCACTGGCTTTTTTCAGAGGTGCTGCTCCATATTAGGTCCTCCTGTGCACTATGGATGTTTGATCCCATTAGACTCGTTTAGGGTTAGCTTCGGATCATGTGGGAATTGAAATTGTTTACAGAGTGATGAGATGCTAAAGCTGATGCTAAAGATGAATCCTGAACAAAAGGTGTTGTAACCCCTGAGGGAGTGAAACAGATGTGCTCCAGTTGTGAGCAGTTGATTGTCAACGTGTCCTACTCTCCCACTGAAATATGAGTCTGTGGGAGAATTTTGTTATTAATCACATACAGTTTCATGTAGCCATGTGTGTCGTTTATAAGCCATTTGGTTCTCTGGAGAAATCAGATCTGAAACAACTTCGGTTATATTTCATGAAAATACAAGTAGAGCAAATCCTGGGGGTTGAAGTTATTTAATCCTTATTTTTCATGCTATTCTCACCCGCTGAGTCTTTTTCTCTCTACTGTTCATTCAAATTTACTTGGAAGTAGAAACTCTGTTACAAACACTCTTCATTTAGATACATGCTGTGACTCAATATTTTCCCATTTGCTGTTATGCAGGAAAATAATTATGTGAAGGTAAGTGTTCTGGAAATAGTGAACTGGAAATAGAAAAAATAAGCAAATAAACAAAAAAATAAGTACATACAAGAAGGAAAGGTTTGGAGGCTCTTGTAATATCGCTCTTGTCATGTGTAATATGACACCAGAACATATTTTTGTACACAAAACACATACATCTGAAATGAAAAGGCTTATGAGCATATTATCATTTTTTAAATTACAAATAGATGAAATAGACGAGTCCAAAATTTTAAGTGCAAAATGATACACATATTTTCAGTAGTTTTACCATCTGATACAATAAATGACTGACATTTAAAGATGAAGCATACATTTCCTCTTTGCAATTTTAGTCTAATTGTTTAAGCAGATGTTGAAGGCAGACACAAAGCCAGCTGTGCTCCCGTGTTTGACTGACCTCAACATTTTCTGTGACTAAAGCAAATCAAACTCAACCTAAAACAAGTTTCCTGACAAACAGGATGTGTTCCATCCTTCAAGGTCACTTTTAGCCTGCTGAGATCTCAGATGTTCAAGCTGCATTAGTATTCTCCGTCCGTACACCCGTCTGCCTCGAACTGTGAATGTAACTACTGTGCTCGTACTTTACTGCCTTCTGCCCGGATAGGACAGGTCAGTGAGACTCTTCACTGTGCCAGAATTCTTCTGTGGCTCTTTTGTTATTCAGCATATTTTGGCGAAGAAACAGACGAGGCAACAATGTGGCGTGTTAGAGTTTTACTGTTACTTTCCCAATAAAGCAGGGGGGATACAATTCAGTTTAATTGATTGATGACTTTATGTGTGACCAGTCAAACTTTATTCTATAAGCAGGTATGAAAAAAACGTCATGTGGCCAGTGTTCTTTCATCACATTTCGATAAGTAATTTCTTCAATAATAATTTCTTATGTCCTTAACTGTCCCCATCAGCCATAACCCTGAACCAACATGTAAAATTACAAGAATTTTAGAGCAGTGTGCTTGCTTTTCCAGCTATGAAAAGCCAAGATATCTGCAGTGACTGTAATTGGTCTCTTCCTCTCATATCCCAGAGTGTGCTTCCCTGATTCCTCTCCCCCCATTTTAGCCCCTCCTATCTGATATGCCACAAAAATAATTTTTTCTCTCTCTCTCTCCTCTTCCCCTCTGAACACATATCAGGGTCTGAAAAATCCTTGGAAATGTGTGGAGAAGTAGGATGGAAAACAAAAGCAGCGAGGCAGCAAAAAAAAAAAGAGAAATGAGAAGAACCTTAAGAAGACTTGAGCTGCTGCTTAATTCAGATCATTCTGCGGTGTGACAAATAAGCATTCTTTTTGAATTTGTATATACCCTCCCAAAGTGTTTCACTGCAAACGCTTTTAAGTTAAATAATGTCTCAAAAAAATTATCAGTTTTTGTCCATTTGAAGCACCATCCCTCATGCCTTTGTTTATCACATTGAGTTGGAGAAAAGTATCTGACAAATTCTTTGGCTGGATCACAATTCCTCCATGGGTAATTTGGGGAGCCTGTCAGTTCTTACCTAGCTCCTTAGTGGTCAGTGAAGCCTGAAATGCTGCAGGCGGAGAGCATTGTTTCAGTTGTGAGACGAGCAGGTGGTCCCCTGTGTGCTGTGGGCCTTTGTAGGCTAGTAGTGTATAATGTGAGAAGCTGACTGAAACTGTGTGGGGGTTGGTAACATACAGTGCTGACTCCCTCAGGGGGGGCTTGTTATAGAGCGAATCTTGCCGTTCCATTACCCATCACCCACCTTGACTCCTGCGACACACATCATTCTGTCCCCAATAAATAGAGAATGACATATACAATCAATCCCCTTCTAGCTTCCTGCATTATTTCTGATGCTACTGCACAATCAGTGCCAATTCTGTCGTTTGAGATGGGCCACAGAAGGGTCTAAAGAGTGTGCATCACTCTTACAGACCTTTGAAGGGAATCGTCTTCAGTGGCAGATGAGAACAGCGTAAGCAAACAAGGTTTTTTTGGGTCTCCCAGCATTACTGTTTGTGCTCCTTTACTTGTCAACCTGTGTTTGGCCGTTCGGTCGGCCGGTGTTTATTTCCAGGTAAACAGACAATTCTTTTCAGTTTCTGTAAACGGTCGCTTCACATTTACATTGCCAAGTGCGTATCTTGATTGGAATAATCTGCTGAGGCAGCTCCTCATTTTCCTGCATACTGCAGATTTATTGTGCCGCATATCACAGCCCGGCACGTGCCCCACAGGCCTCATGCATTAAGGAGGCTGCAGGAAGGTCAGAAGGATGTGTTATGGAAGTGCACCGACCCTTTGGAATACCTTACCAGTAAAGCCTTCATTTTTTGTTTTTTGGTGCGTTTGCTTCTTCTTCTCAGATCATTGTGGGAGTGATCCTGCTCTACTACCTCTTGGGAATCAGTGCCTTGATTGGAGCGACTGTCATCGCTCTGTTAGCTCCTGTGCAATATTTTGTGGCCACAAAGCTGTCCCAAACACAAAAGAGCACTCTGGTGAGTATTGTCATCAGCAGCATTGTTTGCGATTGTGTTTATCTACACTTTACTACAATTTGGGCTGTGGATTGCACAGTTTGCCGTCCAGAGTGAAACAATTTTGAACAACAGTGGGATGAATAGCAGTTAAATCCACAAAGGTGTTATTTACAAAAGAAGTTCTCCATTTGTGTCGCCATCTCCTCTAAATTTTTGTTCATTTTTAAGTTGCTGCTCCTTCAAATAACACCCCTCCTTGTGGAAGTGAGGCTTTGAGCCAATTCACCCACGTGATAAGCCCACCTCTATCTTTAATTACTCTTGTGATTGCTCTTTTGTCACCTTGTGTAGGGTGTGTATCCTTGGAGTGTCAAATAACATTTTTGCTGTCAGGAATACTCCAGTGAGCGGCTGAAGAAGACCAACGAGCTGCTGAGGGGCATCAAGTTGCTGAAGCTGTACGCCTGGGAGCACATCTTCCGTGACAGCGTGGAGGAGACCCGGGTCAAAGAGCTCACCAGCCTGCGGGCCTTCGCTCTCTACACGTCCATATCCAGTACGTCACCGCCATCCTTTTGGGACGCACATAACGGAACATATACATAAACATTTAAAAGTAACATGACGTTTTTCAGACCACAATCATTCAAAAAAGCTCAGTTGTGCTTGACTTCACTGTTTTAATTAATGGAAAAATTACATCTCACTAATTGTTTACCAGTATTGCTATGATGAATTATTGTTTTGTCATTCGTACCTCATGATTATACACCCCAGTGCTTCTTTATTTCAATTCTTATCTTCTTCATTCCTCCTGCAGATGAACAGCAGCTGCTCTCTGCATGGCTGTGCTCCTGGGGTTGACTGTGTAAAACCCTATATCAATATCTGCAAACTAAGAAGCGTGCTCAATCATAATTTCCACTAGGCAAATTCACCAGAATAGTTTAACCCAGCATTTAATCTCCTTTCTTTAAATAGCTTTCTTTTTCCTCTGACAGCCACGTCTTTTAGCTGATCGTGTTCACTTCACTGTCACATGCTGAAATGTTTTATCATTTTTACAGTTCTGTTGCCACAAAATTACTGCATGCCTCTGATTTCCTAAGGAAAATGTAACTGATCTTACTTTTTCAATAAAGCAAAACAACGTACTAATTTAAAACCAAATGCGAGGATATCTATTTAGATTTTCTTTCCAATTTCTATGAAAGTATCACGACTATTGACATGATTAACTTTAGCTTGTTTTGCTAACCTTTTTTTTCATTTCACTCTGTTAGATTTAACTGGTTAATCCTGGAAAAATATTTACATCTTCCTCCGGTTTGTGTTTTTTCCTTCCAGTCTTCATGAATGCGGCTATTCCCATTGCAGCTGTGCTGACGGTGAGTTCCTCTGACTATTCATTTTTAGAATGAGATTCCATGTCCTCCAATACGAGCCAGATGTATTTATCACAGTTAGGGATTAAAGTGCATCCTGTTGTCTTTTCCACTGTGCAAAGGACAGTGCAGACACAGTGCCAGACAGTCTGCCTCTTACAGGGCATTTCACAGCAACAGAGGGGGGGGGGGGGGGGAGGGCACTTTGTGACAGCACCACACTAAATCCTTCTTTTATTTATAGAAGTCCTTCAAGGACGTTGACTTGAGTAATGAAGAATTAGAAGTGGTAGACAATGACATTTTACCTTGAACTGGCTGACAAAAGTCTGTGGAGATAAATGAATGTATTTCAGACTAACCTTCCCTCTGTTTGTTTTCTTTCTTTTTTTTCTTCTGTTGAACCCGCAGACGTTCGTGGTTCATGTCCACATTTCTGAGGATGCTGATCTGTCCCCAGCTGTGGCCTTTGCCTCTCTGTCCCTCTTTCACATCCTGGTCACCCCCCTCTTCCTTCTCTCAAGTGTGGTGCGCTCCACTGTCAAAGCTCTTGTAAGGTGAGAGCTAGCAGGACATTTATCGATTTATACATAAAGGGGAAAGATCTATCTATCTATCTATCTATCTATCTATCTATCTATCTATCTATC